AATATGTCACATAGTCCAACTTCACTTCTGTTGGCTAGCCAAACCTAGATATTATTCACGTTGGTACCAGTTGTTGCCTCTAAAGTGACTCATAGAACCTATGCCCTAAATCCGTACCAGTTTGTCAGCATAGGGTAGGGGTACCTGGTCTTATCTTTTAGTCTGAGCTGTTAAATATGGTCGAAAACGATTGTTTATAATAGGAGTACTGTATAATTATGAAAGTGATTTAAAACCAGTAAAAATTGTCACGTCGGCATGTAAGAGAATTTAATAACAACCATTTTGTAATTCTATATGGAACGTGTCTTTACCGAGAAGCATCTGTAGATTGTATTTATGGTTCAGCCTAATGTTTTTATATAAAAAGCTTTTCATTGATGTTTCAATTAGCATTTTATATAATTTACCGAATAAATATTTGTAATTATCGGTTCTCCGTAAGCGTTCCCCTTTTATAACTGATTAAGTAAACGCAGACCTCGAAGAAGACACCCATAGTGTTCAGATTTTATTGTTATTTCTAGCAATATCAAATATAAACAGCAAACATGATTTTATCCTAATAAACGATACTTCCTTACAACGCTTAATCGAACCCAGGTCATCTCATGAATATTATCGCAGGCTCATGAATATTATTGCAGATTGGATAGAAAGTTGCCGACTGTTATGATCTGTTATCGCCGGCTAGCTTCACAATAGTCATTTTTTGGGCCGGCAAAGCCGCGCGAAAATTTATTTTCGATTTCGTACACAATAATTCTTTCTTTTGGATAGAATATTCATTTCATCCTGTTTTCGACAAGATAGGTTATGTTTAGTTCTCACTTTGTCTATGACAGCTTATTCATTTCATTGCTTTTATTCAGTTCTAACTAGCTAAAATTCATCAACCGAATTAGAATAAATAATAGTTCCGTTCTTCTGGCATCATTTGCGGATAAATGCTGATTGTGTTTCCGAAGCTGTAACATAGTTATTCGAACTTCATGAATATTCACAATGAGTCTCATGAAATAGGCATAAAATGAAACTGAAATTAGCTCAATTATATATAATTTCTGTAACTGTTTGTTACATGATCATTAATATTTAATGAATAAATGCTTGACACCTTATGATACAAGTATTTGTAGTTTTACGCATCAAAGAAGACTTAATATTTTAATCATTCTAAAGTAGTAAGTTTTAAAGGGAGGTAAGTCATATTTTTTAAAGATTTTTAACAAAAATTGTTTTCCACATTTCCATGCTTTTGAGGGTTACAATTTAAACTGTTTGAAAAAAAATACTGCTTAACATTGTGTTTTAAAAAAGTATTTCCTTATTTCTGCACTCTTGCAGTGTACTATATATTTTTTTTATCTATGTCTCACCCTTTCAACGCGTGCAGCGCGGTGTGCTGATAAAACATACAAATGTCTTTTAATTCTTGATCAAGAAATGAAAATGTAAAAGTCAGTTGCGGAATCAGATTAGGCGTGGAGGGCGTACGCCACCCTCCTCTTCCAACGGAAAAATATCTTCTTATTTTTTGCATAAAATCTTCCAACAATTTTTTGTATCCCTCCATTCGGCGGTATATATATATATCGTTTTTGGTAATTACCCCCCCCCCCCCTCCCTTTTCCCCCTTCAAAATTCTTTGATCCACCCCTAAAACGCATTCATAGTGTCTTCGATTGTTAAACTAAAAAGCGTTATATATAGTATAGAAAATAATTGAGTCTTATGCAACTTTTGGGTTTATAGACATATCTGAAAACTGGCTGCTAGCGGAGTGGCTGCTAGCGAGTGGCTGCTAGCTTGAGCCTAGCAGCTTCCCGAAAAAAGTTAAGTATCTAATGGCAATTTGAACCTCATTTGTTAATTCTAGAATAGAAGGATTTTTTGGGGTTTTTCTATTGCAAAATATGGACTTGTATACGATTTCAGTCTTTATCGAAATATTAATGTTTTAGTGTAAAACATCGACATCCCGATTTGTTTGTGTTAGTAATAGAACATATAACATATAGCTATTTGTATTTGTAAGTACACTTTACAATAAAAACTCACCAAAGATCACCAGACTTATAATTTATAAATACCAATATTAATTCCATATCTGACTACTAACTGCTTTCAATGTATATAATGTATTAAAATATAACATTAAGGCATGCTCAATGGGATTACCTCAAATAAACATTCTGATTTCTAATAGTTTTAAAAGGGAAATTTTAGTTAGCCAGTAGATTATAGGTAGTGACTCTGTCTTCATCATAAAACGAAATGAATTTTAAAGAATGTATTTGTCTGATGAATTTAAAAGATTTGCTTTAATCTTTTGTTATTTGATATTGTGTGTTAAATGTATTTCATTTTAAATTTGTTTGACTTGTTAGATTGCTGTTGATGTTTATTCAAACGATATGTATCATATCGATATCACTACACTGCACCAATGAATCAATTATTGAACAGTGGCACAATTATCTTTTTTTGCATCATGAAACTTCAACAAAATGTGTGTCTGGTAAATTTGTTTGCAAGCACATTTAATACTAGTTTAGGTAAAAAAAAAACCTCACCAATGATAACACCAGATTTATTCTTTAGTACGCTAGACGCGTTTCGTCTACATAAGACTCATCAGTGACGGTCGAATCAAATCAATTTGAAGGCCAATCAAATACGAAGTTTAATAGCAATAAAAACCGAAAATTCCTAAAAGTTATGCCATATAAGGCTAATGAAATATATGCCTGGGAGAAAAACTTAAAGTGTTTAGAACAATTAAACATATTATAAACAATAAATTTACAGAAAATTTGAACATATCAATGATATTCCAATATGATATTCCATGTTAACACAAAAGTCCTGACTGCTGGGCTGGTGATACCTTGGATGAGGAAACGTCCACCAGCATTTGTATCGACCGTGCTTGTTAATCTCATCAAAGATACCAGGCTTATTATTTTGTATCCAGACGCGCGTTGCGGCTACATGAGACTCATTTGTGACGTTCGAATGAAATCTTTTTATTTCTTCATTTTTTTAGGATTTTACTCATCTTGAAAGGTCGTAACTATGACAACCTTTAGTTGTTTACACCCTCATCATTTGGTCTATGATTGACAGTTGTCTCATTGCCAATTATTCAGCATCCCCTTAATATATTGACGACAAAAGAAATAGAGACAGAACCTCAAACTAATTAGGTTCACCGTTTTGTCTCACTGACCGTTACTCAGCATCTCTTTTCCTCATCAAATATCAAATGCCATGAATGCTGGCATATTTGGTGTAATTTTGGTATTTTTCAAAAGTACGATGTACTTAACAAATATAACATCTATGAATGTTCTTTATTTGGACATCGATTTCTTTATAAGGATATTTGATATGACATTTCAACAAAAAAATACGAGTGTCATATATTTTTATTGTGATGCATTAAAGTGCAAGAAATGTTCATTTTACACAAATGCTTACTAGTATTCTATTCTTACTCCCCCCCCCCCCCTTTTTTTTTTTTGGTTCAATCCAAACTTTCACATGTGGTTTGAACGTACACATTATAATAAGATTTACTTTAAACGTAATGCATCACAACAAATGCGTTCATAGAAGGCAATATTACTGTCGTTGCAGTATTGTTTTATATGTTTAAAACATTCATACCAAAATTTATTGTAAACAGGACGACTTTCCTTTTCTATCTTCAATTTTTCCTTGATGGGACATTCCAATATATCTCCTTCTTATGGAGTGTATATTTCTCAGTTGGTTTGATATACGCATGTTTGCGGTACTGTCTTGACCACATGATTCCATTCATGTGTCTGTTGCTTATATTACAGTGAAATCAAATTGTGCTCACATAGGTTTACGAAAGTAGTTTAGGCAACATTTTCTATCAAAGTGTAAATCAAGGCTGATAATGATGAATGGCTGCTTAACGTCCAGTGGCAAATCCATTGCATATTTAGGACGAAAACATGGTTTGTTGTTGTTAAATGAATATGAGCTCTGTTTTGTACTAATACTACTAGACTGACATGCTGACCCGAATTTTTAACGTGCTTGTTCACGAGGCAACAGTATACAGGGTATTTGTTAGATCTGACTTGTCCTGTAATAGTAAAACAAACTCAGAATTTAATTCTATTGAATAAATAAGTATAGAACTAAATATAAACAACAGAAAATGGCTCATTTCAGGTTTATATAGACCACTATTGATGTTTAACAAAGACTTTTCCAAAGACTTTATAAATACATTTGATTTAGCTTTGTTTAAGTATGAACATTTCTTGATTTTAGATGATTAAATTTTGATATTTTGTCAAATGATAAAAGCAAACCAATAAGAGAAGTGCGTGATGTACTTGATCTAACTAACATGGATGACACACCCGCCAGTTTTACCAAAGGTTCAATACATGTAATTCTTACAAACAAAGGAAAGTTATGTATCAATACTTGAAATGTTAGTTGTGGGTAAAGTGATGTACCCAATATAATAAGTACACAAATAAAAGGTCGAATACCATCAAGCAAAAAATTATCTAAAAACTACAAGAGCTTAAATAAAAAGTATGATCAGGAAGATTTTGAAGTTGACTTAGAAAATAAAATTGATTCTCATAGAAATACAATCAAAACTAATGTTAATAAAATGTACTCAGATTTTGAACCAAAGTTTATGGGAATAGTAGATAACCACGCTCCAATGAAGAAAAAACCCCATAAAAACAATTAGCACTTTTTATAAACAAAGATATTAGAAAAGTTATATACAAGAATAGACAACTTTACAACACATACAATAAAAGCAAGTCTAAACAAAACTCTGACAAATACTGTACAGACAACAAAAACATCTTGTCTGAGCTAATGGGAGAGCTTTTAATTAGATTAGATATTGCGGTCTTTCGTCAAATAGGTACAAATATAGACTGCTGATAGCAGAAACTAAGAATGATATAAGAAAAGCCCGATGCAAATATGATTTAGCATAACTATTTATTCAGAGATAAATTAAATCTTGTATTTAGAAAATACTTTCTTCTTTGCAAAACAAGCAATGAACAATATATAATGTATAAATGATCCATTTGCTTTTTAAATAAATGATTTTCAAACGGTTCGTCGATATGTTTCTTCTGATAGTGCTGATGCTGATGAATCGTCAGGTTGTTCAATATGTTTCCGCTTGGATTTATAAGGTCTACGTCTTATGTTCCGCATGAACAATTTTAGATGATTCTGTATAGTGACTAGATCCAACAGGACGATTCCACCTAAAATACCAATAAGGATAAACAAAGCTACAGCCCCAATAGCCTCTCCTCCTGGAGCCTCTCTAGTCGGTCGCTTAGGTAAGTTATAAATTTTGAGGTTTTTGACTATTTCTTGGACCTTTTCGTCGATCTCGTATGGTAAAAGTGGAGCTGGTTTCTGCGTTGTCGATTTTAATATGACGATAGTTGACCTGATTTGACTTTGATCTCTCTTAGAGGACAAGGTGTCTGTTGATAGTTCTTCTTTCGACAATGTATTTTCTGTCTTTCCGTCAGATAAAGTTGATTGCTGTAAAATCTTCACACCTTTTGTAAACACAAACAAATTTGCATATTTATTATATTCATATCTTAAAACATCAATGAGACAGATGGATCAAAATTTTATCAGTCAAAACACTAAAGATATACAGAACAAACTTATTCCAAATAAACTTAAATGGCAGATTGATGTAAAGAAAAAAATTGATGACAGCTTTACAAAAGTAAGATAAATCTCGCAACACAATAAAAGAATATATTTGGTGCAATTATGATCCGATTTATTTAAATTAATTGTCTTGAAAATGAATAATAAAAAAAAACGATATGATACTACATTAGAAAACAATTTACAGCTGCCAGGATTTTCTTTAGGATTGTCTGAAAATACTGTAATGAGTTAACAACCGATGAATTATTTAAGAGCAAATATCAAATGCAAGCTGAAAAGATTTTACCTTCAGTGGATTTCTGTATAGTTGGAGTTATTTGGTCAGGAGTTCTTCGCATTGAATCCGTTGTAAGTTCATCGTTGGTATATTCTTGGTTGGTGCTTTTTGTTTCAGATTCAGTTGTTTGTCTGTTACCAGTAAATTGTGAGTGGGAATGTTTGATGGTGTTCGAGGAAGTTGTTACTATTGTTGTTGGTATTGGCGATGTTGTGGTACACATCCGACTTGAATTTACAGCTACAAATTATTCAAAAGATGCATATACTGTTATAGTTTAAATGCATACTGATATTTTTGTTCTCTTTCTGAATACAAATATACAAATATAGGTGTAAAGATTTAACTAATGTATAAACTCAGAACTATATATAAACATCAATCACTTTTCATGAGCGGACAAGTTAACTACACGTAAAACCTAATCCAGAGAGAGGTAGGGCATTTTCCCTGAATTTATTTCACACCAGGGTCTTTTAATCTAAACTTGAATCATGGTATCACAGCCCAAAGTTCATACTTTAAGGTACTACCAATATAATCGCTTATTTCTGAACAGATCACTTAACTACAAATGCATGAAGATTACCTAAAACCGCAATTTTGACCGATTTTAGCAAATTCTGAATACATTGTATTAATTAAAAAAATCACAAGTAGTTCAGCGTTAACCAATCCAAAATTTTGCCGGATACAAAGTACTAGTATTTCATTTTGTTCAACGACGTCATTCGATGCAAAGTTTGACAATAACATGTAAAATTTGCAATATTATATCAACAACAACATGAAAAACAGAATAGCATAAAAAAAAATTATTAAGAATAGCATATTGTTTTTAAAAACACATTTTTAGTCCTTGTAAATGATATAGATTTTTAAATATTCAATTTTATGTAGGAATTGGCAATTTTTAGAGTTTGATCCTGTTAGTGAATTAAATACAAGTCCCTACCTGTTTTTCGTGAGATCTAACAGACGTTTGTTCACCGAAATTCAGATAAAAGTTTTGTGTGAACTTCACGTGAACTTTTCACCAATTTGAAAATGTAAAAAATATTGAATTTAGGAGTTTTTCAAATGATTTGGAATTATGATAAAAATTTCAATTTTGTTTTTATCAACTTCTTATGACGATTATCTTTTACTTACTTTAAAAACAGGTTTAGGCCACTATTTTCTACAAAAAGAAATGCCTGTACCGAGTCAGGAACATGCCAGTTGTTTTCCTTTCGTTTGATGTGTTTGAGCTTTTGGTTTTGCCATTTGATAAGAGACTTTCCGTTTTGAATTTTCCTTGGAGTTCGATATTTTTGTTATTCTACTTTTTACTAGATAGCTACTGAAGTACCAGTCTATGGCATCGGTTGTTATTGTTTACGGGTTACTGTGGTTCACTTCTAGGTGAGCGTTTGGGTTCAGAATTTTCGATGCAACGGGGAAAAAAACTTTAAATGTACTTACCAAGTCTCTTGCACACAAAATGTAGAGAATTGTCACAATCTCCTTCATACCAGTTATAGTACACATATACACAAGCAACTGAAACAATATGCACAAAAGTTAGAACTAATATATGTAGGTATGACTAAAGGGAGGTGTTGGGTATACATGAAAGTCAATGAAACAGAAACTCAACAACACACAAATAACCAAAAGATCACACACACAAACACAGTTGATTTTTTTGATAATTGAGTGATAATGGCATACCTTTAAATGGTTCTGTACAATTTTTTTAAGAGAGAGTTGAGATAATTTTAAACTTGACACATTTTATAAACACAGTCATGTCTATGGTTCAAAATAAACTCATCATAAATACCGTGATTATAATGTTGTACTCGCCATGCGTTTCGTCAACAAAAGACGTATACTCAACATTTTCTTTAATTCATATCATTTCGATATTAAAACACCACTTTATAAATTTCATGCATCCGAAGCGTGTTTTTTTTTATTATTTACCTTCATCATGCAGCAACTGTAACAGAGTGTACTCAAAATGTAGAGAATCATGTCTCTCTCTCCATTGTTATAGCATTTTATCGTTTTATGAATACCGTGTCTTTAATAGTATATACAAATAAACATGTAGGTTCTTAATCAAGGTTGTTACATTATTTTTTCTTTAGTTCAATTCATGTTTAACTTCTGTTAATATTGTTACTAACACAAGTAAAACAAGCGATTCTCTATGATTGCTTCTGTCGTTTGCATCTGGTTAAGAATTATTTTGTTTTATTGGTAAGTTGAAACAGATTCAAGTATTTGATTAACGACCGTTAATGATATCGTGCTTGTGAATTTAAGTCAAGTTTGCTATCTGTATTCTTTACAAGGAATTTTATCTCTGAAGTTGAATAAAGTGTAATGAGCTCGCGTGAATATCCCAGACCAGAAAATTGTTCATGTTTCTTTGGCTATTACGATATCGATGTCTAAAAAAAAAGGAATAATGAACCTGTTTTTGAGTATTTAAACGTACCTTATGATAGGAGCAAAAAGAAAATCATGTTTTCATAGTAGTTTTGATTAGCGAAGCATTAACTGTAATCAAGAAAAGGGTATATAAGGATTGACATTGTGTAGCGTATTGCAGCATCATTAGGGAGCATCCGTTTGATTCTCTGATTTAACTGAAGTAAATTACTATCTTCTTTAACATAGGATATGAATAATGTGTTGATATTGAATGAAGGTGGTATAAATGCCAATTAGACCTTAACAGACATATCCAAATAAAGTTCCCAAGGTGTCTTGAACTTATTTTTCTTCACCAAGGTAATGTCTCGAAAAAATATATGAGAAATTCCAATATTTCCTCCCATATCCCCCCAATGAAAGAAAATGACCATTCCCTAAGACCATATTTATATTAGAGTAAAATATGTGTTTGTTATTGATGTGTCTTGTTGAACCTTTAACTGTGTCCTTGGATTTGATTGCTCTTATTGTGTTTAGGGCCATCCAGAGCTGAATGGCTGTTGGTGGATAGATCATGCTCAGTTGAAGACCACGTGGTAAGCTCTGGATGTCTTTTTGTGCATATTGCATTTGGGTGATTTGTTGATGTTTTCGTGCCATTGCCCCATTACTTCATTTCGACAGCTTGTTAGCCTGGTCTATCAAAGACGACAAATGATAGTCAAAGCTCTCCTGGCCTTTTAAATAGTCAGGCGAGATACAAGATATAAACTGACTTGGCTTGGTATATTCATGTATATGTATCAAATAAAGTTAACACGTATAAATTCAAGTAAAAATAATATTTTAAAACAACATCAAAATATAAATGTGTGAAAAAAATGTTTATAATATATGCTGAAAAAAATTGTTATTGTGATTGGCCATGAAAAAAAAACATGTTTTTTGTTCTGGGTAAAAAAAAAAGATTGACTTGGGGTACAAATCCCTGCCCCATCCCAGATAATCAAATGATTGCCCCCTTACCTTCTAATGGCATACTGATCCTTTCTATTTTCGGCAAATAATCAAGAGGGGTTTCGTCTGACCAAATATGCACTAGACCTATTCCAAAACTTCGCATACCAATCCAAACAGGGACTCCAGCAAATTGTTCTCTTAAACAAAAAAATCAAAACTGAACACTAAAGTGACATATTTATAGTGTTTATTTTACTGAATGAAATATCAGATAATGAAATATTCTCAATTATAAGATGTACGAAACAGTTGATTATATATAGTTAAAAGTTTTCCTCCATGCTGCACGTTAAAGTAATGTAATTCAAGATTACAAGATGTTAATTATTTTTTCTTTCGAGTATGTGATGATATTTAGAATATTTAAAAAAAAAAAAAAATTAAATTATAAATTAAAAAAAAAAACTTAATTTGTTTTATGAATGTAAATGTGTATACATGTAAATAGATCATGTACATTCCTACTGAAAGACCCCTGGCATACTGTAATTGCGTCAAGTCATTGTCATTGACAAGCACAGTAAATGTAACCAGACTTAAGCTAGCGAACAAAAAGCCAGCGAACAATAAGATGCATCAAGCTAGCGAACAATAAGCCAGCGAACAATAAGATGCATCAAGCTAGCGAACAATAAGCCAGCGAACAATAAGAAAACGCGCCAATCTGATCATGCCTAAAAACCGAAGACTTGCAATAACATGAAACGTCCTTTGAAATCTGATGACAATCATTTCCAGTAGAAAGACGAAATCCAATTCATTTTCACACAGACACAGTTGATTATGATTAGTTATTCGTTTATTCAATACAACTTTTTTTATCTAAAATTCCTTTAAGCTAATCATTTCTCTTTTTAGTGTTCTCTGATTAGAGATGGGTTTGTTGTCTTTATAATACATGTAACAATTAATAACAATAGTTCTTACTAAACTAGTGTAACGATACAATTAAATCTTCTAGCTTATATATGCGTTTGAAAAGAAAAGAAAAAAAAACGGACTGATTTTGGAACGTCAAGTATTTTATGTTAGATTTTCTGTTGAAATAAAAGCTGATAACTATAATACGCAGTTTTCTTCTTTCGTCAAAGAACTAGTACATTTTTCTAATTATTCAAAAGTATGTCGTTACACTGGTAATTTATTTATTATGTTTCGATAGGAAGAGTAATTCGTGTAAGAGTTACACACAAATAGAACGAGAAACGAATTGACATAAAGATTTTGGTTAATCTAAACGACAATTTTTTTGAATCAAAGATTATCCAATAATCACAAATGATAGGCAAATGCCTAAGGTTGCCTGGACCCGAAGACCAAGGTGGGTAAAGTTACGGAACTTTTTTAATTGAGGTCCAAAGTTGGGGTATGGTGATCCAACCCCCTCCCTTCTTTCTAATATAATTTGTACCTAGTGTGGACAAAAGCTTTGCCGTGGGGACTTTTTTTATGAATTAAAGAAGGGAGGGGTTGGGTCACCATACCCCAACTTTGGACCTCAATTAAAAAAGTTCCGTATCTTTACCCACCTGGGTCTTTGTGTCCAGGCAACCTTAGGCAATTGCCTATCATTTGTACCTAGTGTGGACAAAAGCTTGGCCGTAGGGACTTTTTTATGAATTAAAGAAGGGAGGGGGTTGGGTCACCATACCCCAACTTTGGACCTCAATTCAAACAGTTTCGTAACTTTACCCACCTGGGTCTTTGGGTCCAGGCAACCTTAGGCAAGTGCCTATCATTTCTACCTAGTGTGGATAAAAGCTTTGCCGTAGGGACTTTTTTATGAATTAAAGAAAGGGAGGGGTTGGGTCACCATACCCCAACTTTGGACCGTAATTATCGAGTTCCGTAACTTTACCCAACTGGGTCTTTGGGTCCAGGCAACCTTAGGATTTGCCTATCATTTCTACCTAGTGTGGACAAAAGCTTTGACGTAGGGACTTTTTTTATGAATTAAAGAAGGGAGGGGTTGGGTCACCATACCCCAACTTTGGACCTCAATTATAAAAGTTCCGTAACTTTAACCACCTGGGTCTTTGGGTCCAAACAACCTTAGGAAATTGCCTATCATTTCTACCTAGTGTGGATCAAAGCTTTGCCGTAGGGACTTTTTTATGAATTAAAGAAGGGAGGGGGTTGGGACACCATACCCCAACTTTGGACCTCAATTATAAAAGTTCCGTAACTTTACCCACCTGGGTCTTTGGGTTCAGGCAACCTTAGGCAATCGCCTATCATTTCTACCTACAAAATGCTGTACTTGACGTTCCAAAATCAATCTGTTTTTTTTTTTTTTTTACTTTTCTTTTTAAACGAATATAAGCTTGATGATTTAATTGTATCGTTACACTAGTTTAGTATGAACTATTTCTATCAATTGGTTCATTATTAGAAAGACTACAAACCTATCTCTAATCAAAGAACACTAAAAGAGAAAGGATTAGCTAAAAGGAATTTTTTAAATCCTATAAGAGATGCCCGGCTGTCAAAAAAAAGTTGTATTAGATAAATAAATAACTAATCAAGTTTGTCTTTGAGAGAATGTATTGCATTTTGTCTTCCTACTGAAAATGATTGTCGTTAGATTTCAAAGAACGTCTCATGTTAATGCAAGTCTTTGGGTTTTAGGCATGATCAGTTTGGCGCGTATTTCTTACTGTTCGCTGGCTTATTGTTCGCTAGCTTGATACACCTTATTGTTCGCTGGCTTATTGTTCGCTAGCTTGAGTCTGGTGTAAATGTTTATGGTTCGGTTGAATTAACATACGAGGTACGCTTGTCCAAACTGTTATGCTGTCATCAAGCCGATGTCATGTTCTCTCCCCCTGTTCTTTGTCTAAACTGAAAGCTACTATTAATAATTTGTTCTAACTATTTCTGTAATGTAGATTGAAAACAATTGTATTTCACACCGTATCTTTTCACAACGGAACTCATACGTTCAAGGGATTCTATAGTCTTTACAAACAAAAATTATTCAATTTGACAATATTTTACCTTAAATTATCTATGTATATGTCTTCGTCTTTGCTATGGACACTGACAAGTGATGCATTCATATCCTGACATATTCCAATGGCTCTTTCATAGTCCGCTCCGCCCTGGTTAGTCATGATAATGTATTCACTTTTACCATAAATTGACCAACAGTCCATTTCTGCAAAACACATATTTTGGTCTTTAATATCTCTTAAACTTTCCTAAGAAATTGTCCGCATTTTTTTTTTTCCGTTTTAAGATTTTGTGATTTTTAAAAGACTAGATATCACTGAATTCAATTTTATTCAGAAAATACCAAACTAATGTTTTACCAGAACGAGACTTGTTAATGAAGTATTCTAGAATAGCATTTGTTCTCAGTAATCGCCATCACAGTTCATTCACAAATTTTCTTTTTAAGTTTTTTCTCTCCAATTTATTTAGTCAGCATTACTCATTACTCATGACCAGGAAATGATGACGTACTAAGATAATCGGAAACAGTTTAGTTTTGATGCATCCAGATAATGACTGATTTGGAGGATTACAGCTTTTTCCATAGCCTGTAATCAGCCTAGCTGAAAGTAACAGTATGATCGATTGTTTACTGATAAATATTTAGCAGCAAATAGTTCAAGGATATTTACATGATAGTTAATAATATGTCAATTGTCAGGTATTGTGCTCTACCGGGAGAAAAGGTGGGAAAATTTTACAGTAGATGGAAAGCAAGGTACAAATTAGACAAAATTAAGCCTTACAATCGGTTACCGGCTAAACTCTATATTCTATTGTTGTTTAACTTGAAAGTAGCGTAGAATTCATACAACTCGTAGCCGTGATTTAATGTTCCTATTCAAACAGGACGTTCCTTTTGGTTTCCATAACCCACTCAACCATATAGACTCTGCATCATAAAATGTTCTTGCTTGGTGGACGATAGTAGTTCGGATCGCTATATCTCTTTATCCCAACAATCACTGAGATCAATCATATGGTCAAAAAGACCAGTTATAACCGGATAAAAGCAGTTGGTAAAGGATGCAATGCAAGGGCCAAAATCACTGATGTTCCAACTTCCAAGAAAGAGCTTTTAACAACTTATAAAAACATTTGCAGTTTTGTATGTTTTACCTACAAAAGCGTTTTAGCTAAAAAGTATATATATTAAATACCTTTTAGTTAATAACGAATTTGTAGACAAAATATGCAACCAACTGTATAACCATCATAACAAGGAAAGGGTCAACTAAGCTACGTGAATTAGAAATCTTTCTAAAACACTTATGATGTTTTAATGTTGCAATTTCCTCAAACAAAGTTGATCCTAGTTGGATTTGGCTATTCCTGTTACCGTACTTTTTTGTTATATAGTTCCCAAAGTTTTATTGTACTTCTACATCCTTGGCTTTCATTTTTTTTTTTAATCGTTCCTGATGACGGTTAATTCAGAACAGCGCTTCGTACGCACAAAATTACTAATATGTTATTTTCACATTTTATATTAAAAAGTAAAGCAAACGCATATCTACATTTATGTCAATTTCAATGTTTGTCTAATATATAAGAAGACATCAAGAAGCTCTTGAATGAAATAATTGGCCGAATGTTTGACATAGCCTTGCTTGTCAACAATGCATTTTGAAACTTTTTTTGGGCCTGAATAATTAGCAAAAGGTCGAAGAAATTTTTCGAAATAGCAAATGCTTTGACATTGTTTCATACACTGATAATTTGTCGTTTGATAATAAACGGAGTTTTCTATCCTGGTGAATACTTACAATCTTTCCTCTAATAAATCTTCGTCCGAAACAAATGACGAATTTGGTTTTGGTCGGCGGTGCTTATGGACTTTTCTTTTAAACACCTTATTAAAACAAAAACTTGCTTATGTGTGATAAAATAGATACAAAAATCTTACCACATTTTGCAAAACTCCATGCACACAAAATTATAAATGTAAGCCTAGAATGTTCAATCATCTCAAAGACCAAACTAGATAGCTGCTGTCTATTGATCCAACTTACAATAACTATAATTTATTGTATTGAATATTGGAAGTACGCGATAGCATCCAATCATCGTTCGGTTGATGTTCTGCCAAAAAATAGTCAATTCAACCCCGCCACATTCTGCATGTGCCTGTCCAAAGTCAGGGGCCTGTTTTTCAGTGTTAGTCGTTTGTTGTTGTATATCATATATATATGTGTGTTTTTCCGCTTATTTTTTTGTACATAAATTAGAGCGGTTCCTCGTTTGAATTGTTTAGCATTTTGTCATGTGGGGCTTTTTATTTCCTGTTACGTAGTGTTGGTTTTGCTCATTGGTAAAGGCAGTATGGTGACCTATAGTTGCTTAGCATTTAGTCTCTTGTAGATAGGTGTCCCATTGGCAATCATACCACATCTCCTCATTTTATATAAAACAAAACGAACACATATAATATATGAGAACTCAAGCTACGCGTGAATGTTTGAAGATCACGGAATCGTAATATGGTTTATATTTCTTGCTTTGTGTAGTGAGAGTTCCGCGCTCTCTGCAGTTAAGAATTCTTACAATAATACTTTAATGGATTGTGATAGGTAGCATGTTGAAAGTCTTATTTTATGTTCCTATCAATAGACCAGTTTTTTTTTAAATAATTGAGCAATATTTTAAATTTATAGAAAAATAAATTAGAATATTATTAAATTCATAATATCATTATAATCATATTTATTTAATAAATGTTCGGAATATTTAGTTTAATGTACACTTAACTCGTACAAGACTTACATTGCCTATCGACTGCACGTAATCAAAACCTGATTTAAACATCATGTGAACATTGATTTTTATCAATGGGAGCGTAGTGGAGTTTAGTTTACGTGTTGAGAGCACAACACCATACCGAGTTTAGATTAATGTGACCACTGCCCTTAGCAGATTGCTACATGTTCCCTCTATCAAGGAAATCGCGATAAGGAACGCAATTCTTTGAATACTAGTATCACACCAACTGGTAGCTTTATATACGCCATATGCAGGCTTCTTCAGCATGTAACCAGACGTTGAAGGATACGCAGCTTCTGTACAACAGATGACATCTTTCCTAAGCCATGATGTACCTACATTTAAAGTACATCGACAAGTCATGGATGAGTAAATAACTAGTTATCAGACCTACCAAAACAAATTTTGACAGTATATGTGTACGGACTGTATTTTAAATTATATCCTTCGATTAAAATATCACCATTAAATGTAATAAAGATTACTGACTATTTTACTACCGTTTTATGATGGGTTAATTGTACCATAAACCAAAATTGAAAATTTATTTCAATATCAATACACAGTACCGCATTGATATTCGATTTAGAATTGGTACTTTATTCTTTTTGTGTTTTCCATGTAATCGTCCTTTTATTCTTATTATGCTAGTTTTGTGCATAAAACACAAAACGATCTGGAATTGCTCAAGATTTAACGTTTTTGCCGCATCTATGATTATATCCAACTTATAATATAGTTAATGGAATGAAATAAGTAAGATCTTTTACGCATGTTATGTGCTTTGTTTTGCATATAACGAGCAAAATCCACAGAGAATTTCTTTCTTTAATGTTAGGCAAACTTTGACATTATGTCAGGAATTTTTAATTGCTATACGATTTGAATACACCATCTTCAAGGATGTCGGGTACAGAACAGATCAGATTTAGATGTAAGAAAATATTTTATTCAGACATATATTTGTAGGACTCAAATCTATTGTGGGTTCCAGATCTATGGCAAATTCCTAATCTATGGTTAATTTGACGTCACAAACGCCAAACAAATCATAAATCTATGGCAGTTTTTTTTGTTTTCTCCAAATCTATGGCAGATTTTGATATTACATAATTTTCCGGGGAAAAGGGTAAACTATAATTTCCACGCCACCGCTAACGATGACGGTTTTGTTATATAGAAGGAAAAGAAAAGGCCATTTTTCAAGGACTATAATCAATGAATTAAAATTTATTTCAGAATTCGAGTATACGGCAACGGAAACCCCTGCAAATGAGAAGATGTACTCATCTAATTCGCATTATATAACAAACCTATAGTCATTCGTAGCAGCAAAATTGCTAGTGCAGGCAATTTCAAGCAAATGAATGTGTTTGTGGTGTTTTCGGTGTTTTTGTTTCGTGTTTTTTTTCCGTTCCTTGTTTTCTTTCCTCGTCTGCATGTGTTCCTGGTGTTGCCTTGTCTTTTGATTTTACTAGTGTATACTATGACTGAAGTATGTTTTTTTTTCTTTTCTTTCATAATTTTGTTTCCACAATCATGCTGTTTTCATCCCTATGGTACTCTTGAAATTTGTTTTAAACATAGTCTACAGTATTTTCAGCCATATTAAAGCGACTACCTATACTATTGTAGCAAATAATCTTTCTTGGAATTTGGGAACTAAAAAATATGTCATAGATTTTATTATTAACATTATGTTCAGCTATATTTGTGTCGAATAATTGTACCGTTGGAGAAATTGGGATTTTTTTTAAGAAGGCCACATGTTTGAAGCAAGTCATTTGTCATTACAGGACTTTGACTTCAATCGTCATCAGTTCAAAAAGATTTATTAACGCGTAATCACACGGCCTTTTGGTGAAATGACAGGGTCAACCAGGTACCATACATAGAGTAGGAAATGTTTATTTTCCCGGAGCACACCATTTCACTCCTTACGTCTGTATTAGTGTATACCACTTCCTAACTAAGAAAATTTTATGGTTGTTATCACGATTTGGTTGACCATTGTTATATGTTCATTTCACAAATGGTTATGGATATGCTCCCGTTGTCGTACCTCTAATCCGTTTTTCTTATACTGACTTTTATTTAAAAGCAGCCTTTTCGTTATCTTTGGACATTTTCACTTGTTTTTGGCAACTTTGAAATCATTGGTTAAATATGTACTGACTGGTCCTCCATTTGCAGAAAATCTGACATAGATTTGAAAACTAGAAATCCCCCATAGATTAGAAAACTAAAAAATTACCATAGATTAGGATTATAAATATCTGCCATAGATTTGGGATGGCATGACGTCTTATTTACCTTAGATAATAATTTGCCATAGATCTGAGTCCTACATATTAATTCAGTATAAAATGACCATTTCCTCCCGACTGTGATGCTGAAGGATATTTGTTTTGTTGCAAGGTATCACCCTCCTATGTTAATCGTCGAATTTATTCATCCTGGTAATATAAAATATACGAGACAGGTGACAGGATTCAATCAAAGCAACGTTCTAACATGATAAAAAAGGTTTTAATTGTTTGTTTTAGTCACAAATCATATAAGTTGATTTACATGACAATAAAGTTTTGAATTGAATTTAATTTAATTAGGAAAATAAAAAGAAATTATCATATTTATCTACTTACCAGGGAAAAGGCATCATAAAATCAACTATCATTGAAATACTAACTACAAGTATTTGTGTAAATTTTGTATCCGCGTACATATGTTTTCTACTTACTTATATGATGGACATCTTATTTTAAAATGTATTGTATTTCTATAATACAGAGGTAATTTGCCCAACTTAAACTCTGAAATCGTACAATTTGAAAAAAACACCAATTGCAGGGTTATATTAAATTTTATTATACGTCATGTCAAAATGCCAGATTTTGATTAGTTAATACGAGGGAGACAATTAACTCTATCCCATGGCAAATACTCTATTACCCTTCACGGAGACGCTTGCTCAAGTGTGCGCTTTAATAAATACGGATGATTGTTATGTCCAAGACGACATATTGTTTATTACTTTGAATTTCAAATTTTATAGACAGTAATAACAGATCATTGAGTATAATAAATTAAATAACACATATCTGAGAGGGTGATAGAGCAGATAGTTACCCCTCGCAAAGACATTGTCAACCTTGGCTTCGCCACAGTTGACAATGTTTTCTCGGGGTAACAATCTGCTCAATCACCCTCTCAGCTATGTGTTATTTATATAATGTCCCATTTTATACAGAATTCAATTAGATGAGCAACGTCACGACGTGTTGACCGTGTATACTGAATACATGACGCTTACAAAAGTTTTCGTTGATGACTTTGCCAGATGCAAGATGATGATAATGGATGGCTGTTTAACGCGGCAAATTAAAAGCATATTCAGAATGAGAAAAATGATAATGTGATATGAATACAAACCCTGCTTTGTACAAGACCGACATTTGAGCATGATGCTATAATTCATAAGTAAACAGTCCACAGGAAGACATACCCGAACACATTATTGCGACTCCGGTCGATCAGTTTTTACTCTTCCTCCTATTTTTAAATAGCGCGTGTAAAGCACAGAAGCAGCAAATACCAGTTTTCGAGTCTCGATTTGACACGGCCATGTGTCGAACCCACAGCATGTCGCACTCGAGGCGGGCATGCTACCACGAGAACACCTAGGAGGTTACCAGGTATAAAACAGCATCTGTTATAATATAGATACTCATGTTTTGTTGTTACAGTAAGTATAAGACAGTCGGTAGGACTGGTTAAAAGTCCGTCATTGACCTAATACGGTACAAGTATATACATGGGAGCTCGAATGCAACGCTCTCGCTCCATAGACAAATTACTAAGCGTGTATATACATGTACCATATTAGGCCACAGACGGTCTGTATAATATATATTACTTTATTTTTGAAAATCCGCAATATTTGTGTCAAACTACTTTTTGCTTAATGGTATGTGCTTTCATCAACTAGTAACAACAGGAACATTTTTATTATTATTGTAACAAACATGATTATTTTGCGTATAAACATGCATAAATAATACACCGGTATATATTACTAGTTCGTTCATTCAATGCAATAATCCTGTTTGGATAGCTTGACTTGGAATGCAGCACCGCTCAGAACAGTCTTTTCGTAATGATTGTACATCAACAAAAAACAGGAAGGTACAACAACTTTCAAATAATGCTCATCTCAAGAACAACAACTCATTTTCATATCATCATCTCCTTCCAGTGCCTATGTACACAAGAAACAGTACGCCATTTACAGTATACAAAATAGCGGCAATGCACATCATGGCAAAAGAAAAACTCAGGTGAATTTTTACTTCTCCGCCAAATATGGCAACAGTAATTGTTATCAATGCTCCTGAAAAATCAGATAAGATTATACTGTAAATCATTCAATTTGTTATATATTTTCTTTTTCATTTTTACAAATTCGTCACGTCGATGAATATATAAACGAACGCATCAAAAGTATCGGTGGTGTTTAAAATCAATTTTTGAAGAATATACAAGCTTACGATTTCATGCAGAAGGTCGGTGGTTCTCTCCTGGCATTCCGGCATCCTCCACCAATAAAAGCTTTTGATCGACAACTACTAGTTGTAAATGGTGGATTCAGAGGCCGGCGTACACCCCCTTTTGAATGCTAAATATCAATTTTTAAGCATAAAATCGTCCAAAGAATGTTTCGCCTCATTGTTCATTTTAGTCAATAACGTCCCCTTCCCCTTTTCAAAAATTCTGGATCCGCCCACTGGTTGTGTTGTAATAAACGTGATGCTTTTTCCTGCAATATGCAGTTGGTTATGGCTGGTGTCTAATAATAGTGTCTTTTAAAATATAAAATTTGGTGATTCAGAAAATAGTCTCTGATGATTTTATTCAATCATTATTGTCAAGTAGGATTTTTAAGACAATCCAGAACAGCATACTATGTGTTCATACCTGTCTTATTGATATATATTTTGCAATTCAAACGAAGAGACACTGTTTTATAACTCTAAAAATACTTTTGATATTGGTTTTGCATACAGGACTCAAATTTAAACAATTAGAGTGATTTTCGTTAACCATTTCCATTTGCAAAATTGAAAAGAAAAACATATGCAATGTCTAAGGTTACCCGTATATACCCTGATGATTTTGTTTGATTATTTTTAGGTAAACGGAAGGTTTGCAAGAAAAATGTGAATGAAAAATATTGTCAAGACTGGTGTCCTCACGTGAAAACAAAAAAACATTCTGATTTTCCACAAACTAGAAAGAAATTTTAAGCAGGTGTTCACATTTCAAAATATAACTAACCTGGAATTTGTTTCAAAATATACTTATCTCGAATTACATTAATTCATCTGCCTTTTTCTCTATTATATTCAAAAATAATTTCATAAAAGTCCTCAAAAGCTTTTATCAAAAATAAAGGTTAATTTTTTATCAGTTAACCCCAATACGAACAATAAAGACGAGTATTCATTTTTTTTATCACACTGTTAAGTCTAACTTATTACTAGTATATAAAAAATAAGGAACGTGTAGGGTATTTTGAATTTTCTCTCCTCCAAATAAAAGAAAAAATAAATGGGGAATGTGTCCATGGGACACAGATGATGCCCCCGCTTGCATACGACATTATAAAGGGTACTTTATAGCTAACTGTTCGGTATGAGCCAAGACTCCGTGTTGTAGGCTGTACTTTGGCCTATAATGGTTTACTTTTACAAATTGTGACTTGGAAGGAGAGTTGTCTCATTGGCACTCATACATGTACCACATCTTCTTATATCTAATAACTCAAGAACGGTAAAAGTGACGCTATCAAAATTCTAACTTGATCTGTGTTTTGAGGTAATAAACATTGTGTATAAGATTCATAACGTTCAGTTGAGGCAAACTAAAGTTAGAGAACAGAAACGAAAAATTTCAGCAATTTTTCCATTTGTAAAGGGGCATAACTCTAGAATGGTAAAAGTGACACCACCAAAATTCAAACTTAATTTGAGTTTTGTGGTAATAAGCATTGTGTATAAGTTTCATAACATTTAGTTAAGGCAAACTTTAGTTAGAGAACGGAAACTAAAAATTCAACATTTTTTCCAGTTGTAAAGGGGCATAACTCTAGAATGGTAAAAGTGACGCCACCAAAATTCAAACTTGAACTGTGTTTTGTGGTAATAAGCATTGTGTATAAGTTTCAAAACAATTGGTTGAGGCAAACTAAAGTTAGAGAACGGTAACCAATATCGGGACGTACGGACGGACGGACGTACAGACAGACAAGGGTAAAACTTAGTGCCCCTCCGCTACGGCGAGGGCATAAAAACGGGTTGTAAAAAGGAACACAAATAAATTGGAAAAAGGTATTCAGTTATAAATCTTTTTGGGTGCACAAAAAAAAAACAAATGATGCAGTGTTATCTTTACTAGATAAGAAATGTTAAAACCAAATAAATCGGTTTTTAAAGTATCATCCCTGCTTGGTGTCCACGGCATTTAAGATATAATTAATCTTTTTTTTTCTTTTTGACACCAGAAGAATAAATCTTAAGCTTGGTAAATTACAGAAAGAGGCCCCATGCACTACGCCTCTGTGATATCATCCTGTTTTATTTCCCGTGTTTTACGCAGTAACTTTTAGTGTATTTTCTTACTAGGTCCGATTGTTTGACAAAACCATATACTAAATGAAATGTTAAATTGTGAACAATATACTGCTTATTTATCTATTTACCATGTTAATCAGTAATCAAAGCCTTAAAGGCTGTTAAAGCAATTGCTGCCAAGTTAATGTTTTGTGACTTTTATTTTTCATCCACATGTATAAGAATTAAAATAGACAGGAGACTTGTGTAGTGAGAAGTATAGTAGAGTAAATTTATAACAATTTTAAAAGTAACATTGTATATGATTTTTCAGTATTTCGATTATTTCATGTTGAAGATGAAAGAATTTGCATGCTTAGTTTTATTAGTAAACAATATTTTAGTATCTTTAGTAGAAGTAGTTCAGAAAAGTAATTAATTGTAATTAATTGTTTATTTCACATGTTATATTGACCACTACTTGAGACATTAAAGATTCTTAGATAAATATGTTCTATCTAATTCAGCATTTCTATTTGGTAATTAAAAGGTCAGAGGTTTGATGCATAAGATAAATTTAGAATATTAAGTAATAGGCTAAAGGGTCAGTTAAATTAATTATAGAGTTAGGTCTTAAGAGTTTTGATTCACTTTGAGAATTTTATTTGTCATAGAAAAATCTATTTCTGGAATTATATATATTATCATGATTATTGTAAACCTTTATCATATGAACTATTATGGATGCTTGTTTAACGTTTAATAAACAATTATTTATATAATGGAGTACCTTTTATATGTGAGTTAGTGAACCAAGACAATACCCCCGTATCTCCTACATAATGGTGGGAAACACCGTTCCTACATAATGGTGGAGGACCAAAACTAAAGTTTAAACTATAAGTATGTGGCATTCAGTATTGACACTTACATAATAGTCCAGGACCAAATTTAAGATAAAATGGAAACTACTACAAGTGAAACAGAGGACAGTGATGATGATGATGATGATGATGACAATGATATATATCAAGGCTATGTACGTATATACTATGAGGGAGAATTTGACTTGTAAATTGTTGGACATGTAAATAGTTTTGGGATACAGGAACATTATTAACTTAGATTAGTAGATTTATTGTGACTTGTATTTGTTCCTGATTTTGTTATTCCTTCTACAGTTGAGAGATGCCTGATATTATATAGAGAGCAGATTTAAGTATGTTTCTTTGTGCGTGGATAGATTGCCAAGATGCATTGTAATTCCCTGTTTAGTCACAAGAGACTGCTGAAATATGTCGATACAGGTGACCTTCTACTTTCATTGCGGACTATGGAAGGAACTTTTTTTTCAGTGTAGAAGACCTGTCCTTTGGAGAAAAAATATTCATGAAGATGAACATGAACATGAAGACAAACATTAGACGAAGACGAAGACGAAGATGAAGATGAAAACGAGAAAAATTCAGAACAGGCAGCATTGCCTAGCTGTTAGAATACGAATGAAACAAATGAACCTATATTGTGAGGAACAAAGTCAACTTATTCAAATTAGGAGATAATAACTCATCTTATGTCATATATCGCTTATCTTTACTTATTCTAGTTAACCATCTATCTTCTGAACTTTTGTACATTATTCTCAGTGATATATGGAATAGGAAGATTTCATTGTGTCTTATTGGTAGTTTGTGCATCAAATGTTCTGTTGAGTGAAAGCAATAGTAGAGTTCATAATATTTAGTGGAGTCATACATAGGTATACATGTATATGCTAAATATGTGAGTCATATATCGAGAGTATCATAGCGCATTCTGAAGCCTTTGAAATGAAATATTCTGATATGCAGAATACTAAGAAATTAGCTATAGTGCAATTAAGGTATTACGGATCGCAATCACTTAGTGATAAGTGAAATGTGATCAAATTTGTGCAAATGAAAATCGCATATGAAAAGTGAAAGTCAAATAAAGCCATTTTTAGGGCAAAGTCATTTGAAATTCATGGAATGTATATAAGTTTTCATATAGATAGTTTTATAGTTAGTTTTTGCATGCTTATTAGAACATTTGAACTATACTACAGAACAGTACTACATCAGAGTGAAACGACAAACTTTTGAAAACTTGATGAATACCTAATGAACTATTATTTAATACATAAATACCAAGATGCTGAACTGAAAAACATTTGTAACTTATTTCAACAATTAAGATGATGAACTATGACAATTTTAGTTATATGACCACTCCTACAGAAGTAAGGATGTTTTAACTTTATATCAATAATTAAGACTTATCCAGCAGAAAGTAATTTTTACCATGTTTTACATTTCCCAGGGTTTACCAGGCTAACGGTGGAGGCAAATATATTTGCGGAAACATATAACTCACGAAGAAATCATAATAGATTATCCCCTTGTATCATAATAGATTATCCCCTTGTAGAGTGTTTATAACTGGGCAATAATTTCCAGGCTTCATCATCTTTATTGCTTTAATTTTAATTATATCATAATTGATTTAAATTTAACCATTCAGTTGAAGATTTCAACTTTCGTGACGCGAATGTTCTACTGAACTATAGTTTTCTTTTCATAATATTTGATTTGATTTTTTGGTGTTTTAACGCCACTTTTAAGCACCGCTTTTGGGCTATTTCGTGGCGGCCAGTTTTTATTGGTGGGGGAAGCCGGAGTGCCCGGAGAAAACCACCGACCTTCGATAGGAAAACTGACAATACTAGTCAATTAAGATTGGAGTCGAGTGCACCCGCACGAGCGGGGTTCGAACTCACAACCTCAGTGTTGACTGGCTAGTGATTACAGTAGTAACTACTTCGACCACTCGGCCACCGAGGCCCCTCTTTTCATAATAAGAATCATTCATGCATACATAAGGTTAAAGATTTTGAAGATGGGACCAGCTTCTGAAATTTTCATGAAATGCACGTTAACTGTCGATTAACCTCGAACTGGCTTACGCTTTACCAATTTCATCACTAAGGCCAGAGTTTTTTAATTTGTTGGTTTACTGATTTTTCACATGAAAGAGTCCGTTCAGTCGGAGAAAAAAAAGAAAAAAAATATCTTACAAGACATAAACATGTAAAAAATATATATATATTTGAGCTTACTAAAAATATTTTATTAATGCTACTTTGTCATCATCTAAGTCCTAACATTATTGCTCAGCTGATATGTTCGTGAAATGACATTATTGACATTATTGCTCAGCTGATATGCGTCATATAATTTCGAAAAGGGGGAACATGAAATTAAATCGGCATTTCACGAACAAGAAAAAAACAGCTCCACGTTGATTTAATAGAAACATGGTGAATAAAAATGAATGATCTTCAAGATCGAAAACATGTGAAATAAAATTGCAAACAGGTCGACTTTACCAGATCTGTGTCAATAACGAAGTAGACTCGTCCACTGGAAAGACGAGGATATCGGTTTCATCATTTGTGATGCATTCCCGTTTTTGATATCCAAATGGACGAACTTTTTCTTTCAATGTATGAAACAAGAGAATTCCAAATTGTTTGTGAATATCTCTTACTCTTAATTCGGCATCTTTGGGCGGATCCATTGCATCTATAAGATGATTGATGAATCTTACTATTTCGGAATTATGACAAAAAAGGAAAACGAACTTATTGTTATGTGTTTTAACACAGGTTTCGTTCCGCAAAATTATTTGCGCAAACAAAATTACAAGGTCAGTTATGTTCGTCTATTTTTAGATTACAGGTAATCATTAATTTAGGGCTATTATGACATTTGACACTGTCATTATCATTTGTTTACAGAGTTGAGTCTATCATTATCAACAACAGGGCCAGTTATTTCATAACCCGAATAATTCAGGCCCTCCCCGTGATCGACTCTCCCACTCGCGAGGGCCTGAAGGTGGCACGGTAGTATTTCCTGGCCCATAAGGGATAATGATAGCCTTTTTAGAATTTTCACCACTTTCTAACACTGCCAAAAATTCTACATTCACAGTTAACTGAAGTACTTTCATTTTACTATTCAGAAATGAATTTGAATATGTATCATGACCGTTTACTTTTTTTGCTATCTTTAAGAACCTAAGGCCACTGGTGCTTTTAGGTCTTTTATCGTGCAGTGAATACAAAATTTTTAAAAATTCTCAAAAATTCATTTTCATCTGTATGTAAAATTATTTCATATTTTTCTACACCTGATTCATCCCTCAGTTTGGGAAAGTATGTTCAGTTCAGTGATACTTTATTTTTTGTCCAATCATAATGTTCAGATACATTGACTTAAGTAGGGTACACAAAAGAGCAACCTAAATTCTGGAATGCAAATACTACCGTGCTACCTTAACTCTTTATACGATAAAAACGCGTCACGAATCCAGGATTTTGATTGGTGCTCTCTGTGAGAGAGAGCCAATCAGTTAATAGCTAAATGTTATCGAGATAGGTAAATCCCGAGCTAATTCCGAATGATTTTTTGACGATTTTCGTAGAGCAGTGGAATATAACGACTGAATTATTCGGGTTAGTTATTTCATGGAAGTATTAAAACATTGTAAGGGTAATTAGAACGCGTAAACTCAATCTAATTAAAATATAGATCTCTGATTTCGTTATACTCATATGTAGTATAACGAAATCTATATTTTAATTAGATTAATTGGCGTAAACTGTGCTACTTTTAATTAAAAACAAATAATGCGAGATAATATTACATTACTATAACGTGTGTTGTGATTTTAAGATAATTTTATGAATGAACGATAATTTCATGAATGAACGATAATTTCATGAATGAACAGGAGCAACTTGACCTCTTTAAAGAAGAAACACGAATTAAACAACATAAAACCGTATAGGAGATAATTCAGTCAAATTTTCAATATCAAATCAACAACTGAAATGGTTCAATATTTTGTTGAAACATCTCAAGAACGCAGGTATAAAAATGCATTTTTTTACTCGGACTTCTATGTTCTTTGATAGTCAAACGGTTGTCCCCTTACATACAAAATTACATCTATAAGAACATGTTGAAATTTCTCAAATCCACTAATGTTTTTCAACAGTTTCAATCAATGTATTGCATTCGAAATCATACATAGGTGTTTAAGAATGACAGACCAGGAATCTGCCAAAAACAAATTTGGCTTGATCTGGACAGAGTCTCTGGTCTGGGTCACAAAGATGGCCATACGCTATAGCATGAAAGCAATTGCTTTGAAAACATGCATATATATATGACAACTGTAATTGTTTTGTTTTCGATGTTTAGAGAGCGTTTGATGAAGACCGAATTTTATTCCAGCAATGACAATTTTGGGGGTTTCTACTTTTCCCTTGAAGGCTTATAATCTCAAGCGTAAAGGAAGTCTTATCATATTTTTAAGCGGTTGAAAATTATTTTAGTGCCATGGTAAATTAAAAAAGATATGCTTAGGCCATGGGAGCAACAATTTTAACATTGTAACTAAGAATCATATTCGTATTTATAAAGACACTGTGCTGAAGTTATATAAATGCATAAAATATTTTAAAAAAAATATTTGGTGAATTTTGATTTTCCATTGCTGAAGCTGGACAGGTTTATGTATGTTACTTTAGGGATCAGTTGAAACAGTATTTTACTCTGTGATTATTTTTTTAGCAAACATATATCTATATTAAAGACTTCATGGTTTATCAACATATAATAAATTTAAACATACCAGTAACAAAAGACATTATCATCGACAGCATGAGAAGTCGTCCATTGTCACTTTTTGATACACAAGCGAACCAAAACACCATTGCGATGCCAACAAACGCTGCAATTAGGCTGAAACACGCAAAAACTCTGGAAGCAATTATAAATCCTGAAATTAAAAAAAGAAAATTTAAAACGATTAACTTGACTGTAAAATAACATGATCCAATTTTACAAAACATACATTTACTAGAGTCAAGTACCATTTAATATTCAGAGTGCCAAAAGAAACGCAACACATCGTATACCAACCAAAATTGGTACCTTTTTATTAAAATACTTAAGTTGTTTCAAATTTGTCAAAGGTTTCCATTGAACTCTGATGACAGAGGACCGAATGTAAAAGATAATTATTATAGTTCATCGGTAATATTTTGAAGAAGAATACATTACAGCAAACTTTGTCAATCAATTGAAATATTCAACCATCATAAAATTGATCATAAAACCATCATAATTTGTTGTGACATTTTCAAATAATCGGTAAAATGGTGTTTTTTTTAGACTCGCCTTGTCTGCTGCGGCTACCTCCCCTTCCCTTGCCAGGCCGTTAACCCGTAGCTTCTTTTTATAATTTTGTTATTCGAAGTCAAACACCTGTTTGATTTTGCAAACAATTTCAAAGCTATATCTGCATGAGCATATCCTTAGAAATCTGCAAGATCCTATGAAGATCTGATGGTTTGCTACTGCAACGGAAATAACTCGCACAGTTCTTCCGTTTGCCCATGTTTTATTTTTATTGATAGTGCCTGTGATTACTGCTTTCTATGTTTAATGACTTAATATTATTTCACATTCTGTCATAGATCTTTAGTTGCTTACAATTTTTTAACATGTATTTCTGCTGAATAATACGTACGATTTGGCAACAAAGTTTATCGACAGGTTGTAAGTATTCCTATGGGCACTTAATGCACCCCTTTAATAGCAGACTTGTTTTTGTAATGTTATGAATCACAGTTTATGACCAAACTCAGTAAAGACCCGTCTATTTGCATTTAATTGATAAATTCATAAACAGTTACCGTTATCTTGATGATATTTTTTTGTTAAATAATAAAGAATTTTCTAAATATACTGCCGAAATTTACCCAAAAGAACTTACTTTAAATAAATCAAATGTAAATGGTAATAACTGTCCTTTCCTAGATTTAGATTTCAGTTTTACACGGGGAAAATCCACACTAAAATTTACGACAAAAGGGACGATTTTTCGTACCCTATTGTTAATTTTCCTTTTTTGGATGGTGATGTTCCTTTGGCACCATCTAACGGTGTTTATATATCTCATCTCGTTCGATCTGTTGTGACGTTTTGGATTTTAATGAACGTAATCTATGTATTACTGGTAAATTATTAAGTCAGGGATTTTGTTACCACAAATTATACTTGAAACCTTTACTTAATTCTTCCATTCATATAAAGATTTGGTTTTGAAGTTTGGTTGTACCTGTAGAAAACTTATTTCAAACGGGATAGCACATCCTCATTTTTACGGAGATGTTGTTTACCGTGCCCGGAAATTTAGAAACCAATCAAATTAAAATTAGTTCTCCGCACTTGCTCCTCATTTTCGTTCGGTTGTTTTTCACTTGCCTCATTTTCGTTCGGTTGTTTTTCACTTGCCTCATTTTCGTTCGGTTGTTTTTCACTTGCTCCTCATTTTCGTTCGGTTGTTTATATGTCGCGCGCTCCCACGCGCGACATATAAACAACCGAACGAAAATGAGGAGCAGGTGCGGAGAACTAATTTTAATTAGATTGTTTAGAAATGATCCTGGTAAATTTATCGATCCTTTAAATAAACTTATTCTAAAAAGGTTACCAATTCAACGCTGTAATTTATTTAGATCTTTGAATATTGTTTTTTATTGGTATTAATATTGATTTTGTTATCAGTTAAATAAAAGCAAACTTAATATTATTGTTATATACATATGCAGATTTATGGATCTACAATCTGTCGATACCTGTATCTTGGCATAGCACAAGGTCATGTTTTTCTCTGACTGTTTATGACGTCTTTACACTAAATCCATTGGATGTTGGATGTGTAATGATTGATAATTTAGTCTTGGATGCATGATTATTTTTATTAGTTGTTATTGGCGTTGAACTAGCTGTCAGTAACTGCGAGTACTCTCAGATCTGTACTTAGTGTCTTTTTGCTGTTGTGGTGTACAAGTTACCGGCTTCGTCCGCTCTGTGTTTTGTTAGATGTTTTTCTATTTGTATCCATCTGATGAGTTAAACCTTTTTCAACTGATTTTTATAGTTCGTTCTTATGTTGTACTGTAACACCACTGCCCCAGGTTAGGGGGAGGGTTGGGATCCCGCTAACATGTTTAACCCCGTCACATTCTGTATGTATGTGCCTGTCCCAAGTCAGGAGCCTGTTATTCAGTGGTTGTCGTTTGTTGCTGTGTTACATATTTGTTTTTCGTTCATTTTTTTGTACATAAGTTAGGCCGTTAGTTTTCTCGTTTGAATTGTTTTACATTTGTCATTTCGGGGCCTTTTATGGCTGACTATACGGTATGGGCTTTACTCAATGTTGAAGGCCGTACGGTGACATATAGTTGTTAATTTCTGTGTCATTTGGTCTCTTGTGAAGAGTTGTCTCATTGGCAATCATACCACATCTTCTTTTTTATATTGACTAGATATTGAGGATCATCACTGATAAATATTCAAAAATAAAAATCCTTATTTTTTATGGTTTAAATGCCTTTTATTCGAAACTTTAATTTGCTGACAAAAATGATAGAAATGCTTTAATTAATAATTTATCAGCCAGGTTGATAAATTATTAATTATAGCATTTCTATCATAAATAGTGTATTCATACTTCATAGTTCTATGCAAGAGAACAAAGATTAAGTCACAGTGTATGCAATATCAACGAAGCAAAGGAATTTAACTGAGGAATTTAACAGTAAACATGATATAAAAAAATAAACAAAATACCAATGTACAGGTAAAATGTAAAATAGCTCATTATTCCTACAAATATGTATTACCTGGCATATCGTGTACCAAGTTGATACACCCGACGCCACCGCCACAGGCTTGCCACAATCCCAAATGATCCATACCGACATTTCCCGAATGCGTTCCTTCCCAATCAATCAATTGAATTTGAATGGCACCACTCGTAGACACCCATACTGGTGTTGCAAATCCAAGAATTAATGAACAGAAAGCAACAATTGTTGACACAAACACGATCTTTATCACTGGCTGGAGTTTTAACCATGCTTCAGGACATGCCATGTCGAGTACAAATGTTTAAATTTAGAAATTCTTTGCGTAATGGAAATTACCAGGTGATCGATGGTAAAGAAACATACACACTATCACAATAATATACACAGTCATTTAAACTGTCGTGTGCACATACCATTAACTGTCAAAGACGAAAGGTCAACACTGTGAATACGCAGAGTTTACTAGATCGCGAAGATCATCGAATTCTTAGATATATATATATAAAATCGCAAAATAAAAACAAAAACAAAAAATAGAAAAAAAGCAAAATTAGTAAATTGCAAATGAATATCAGGACATAAGAATTCGGTCTAAGTTGACAATCTGAAAGGCTACAAATATTAAATTTCCATTTTTATGAGAAAATTATTGTTAAGTCAATTTCAGAAACAGTTTTATATGGAAATTGGACTATACTTTATATTTCCTAATGGATCGAGACATTGGAATGGGATTACTTTCATTTATCTAGGTTAACTCAGCTGTATATATTACACAGTGTTATAAAGATGCAATGACTGCAATATGTAGACAAGAAATCAATGAACGGTTGTTTTAAATTACAACAATACCTATAACTTAATTCTAACGCATCTTTATGACCATTCAATAAATCATGTATTATCAAACGTACGGCAGTGAAATATGGGGAGTGTTTTTTTTGTTTTTTGTTTTTGTTTTTTTTTTTTTGCTAAGCGAGCATGTGAGCAAGGTATCAGTCATTTGTTAACTTGGAAATAGAGGGGAATGGGAGGAAAATAAGGAGGGCTTGAAATGTTTTGGGAATGAAAAGGGGTGTCTAATTTTTCTTGACTTTAAATGAGGGCATCGAAAATTGTTTGCAATTCTGTATTTCAAACATGCAGACATTACAACTAATGTTGATGAGTACACTAAATCAGTATCTGGTTCTTCAGACGGCAGAAGTGTCCAACACTTGATTCAGATGCCATATATCTATATCTCTTGTTTTGTTTTTTTGTGTGCTTCAAATCAATTTAAATATTTGTTTCATGCGAGAGTAATTACCATTTTTTTTTTATTATTTCACATTTTGTCATATCGGGGTCTTAAAATTATAGCTGAATATACGGTATGGGTTTTTCATTGTTGATAGCCTTTCTGTGAAATATACATGTAGTTGCTTTAATCCATGTCATTTGGACTTTGGTGGGTAGCCGTCTCATTGGCAATCATACCACATGTCCTTATTTTGTATTAAGCCAGTTCCAATATATACAATACGCCTGTTTCTGGTTTGTTCTGTCAACAGTTAAAAGCTTGATGTCCAAGGGTTGTCATGTCCTGTGACAAAAGCTTGCTACATGTAGACAAGAATTTCCTGTCCTGAGTCAGAGCTTATCCTTATTGTCCTAGGGTTGTTTTGTCTGTCCTGACTTAGCAGTGCATGTGTAGAAAAGGGGTTGTCATTGGTTATCTGGTACACATATTATTTAATATTTATATATCTAACTTTAAACCTTCTGTTTTTGATTTTTTAGTTATAAAATGCATGGTTAAAAAGATATTTTGTTGCTTAACTTACGGAATGGGTCTTTGGCTATTGTCGACCGAGTATAAGAATATGATTTGTAGTAGATGTGTTACCTTAAATGGTCACTTAATTTCAGTGGCGGATCCAGAACTTTTTCTAAGGGGGGACCACTGACTGCCATAAGAGGGGGCCCGCTACAGTCATGGTTCAGTGATTCCCTATATAATCAAAGGGTGGACCCGGGCCCCCAGCCCCCCTATGCATTATATTATGGCTTTTGTGAATAATGACTAACATATTTTAAATGGTTATCAACTTTTTGATTTTTGGATATGATGGTAAATTCCGAAAAGCGCTCCGGAAGAACTTAATTTGTAGTTTTATTTTCAGTAAATAGAATGCATGTGTTACTAGTACTATGACGAGTTCATCGAAAATTCAAACCCGATGACATATGGCATAAAAATAACAATCAAGAGAATGTCTCTTGTTCACTCCACCCAATGTTGATTCATCACTTGGTCAATATTTTTGCAAATCATTGCAAAAATGTAGCGTTATTCAGTTAATAGACACATTTGAAAAAAACTATCATTGAACAGATTTAAAAAAAACAAAGTTTGAAATAGTTCCCTTACAAACTTTATGCTGATATAGGTATAGATTCTACCATAACAATATAATGGTGGATAACATAATTTGGCCGTGTTTGTGTCATGGTTTTGGCCGTTTGTATACAAGTTATTCTCAGTGTGTTCTAGAATACGTTAAATAGAATTGTGCATGTTTATGCAATAATATACGTAGAAAGAGCGTATACAAAGACCAATCAAGGACTCGCGAAACATGAAATGGTTATGACTGAACGCCTCCAAATCAGAATCTTTTCAAGAAATGTAACGATATATACGTTATGAATCTGAATCTAAAGTCTGACAGACTGTACACAGGAAAACAGAATCAGTGGCGGATCCAGAGGGGTTGGGGGTTGGAACCCCCTTTTATTTGACGATCAATGCTTTTGAATGGTGACATATGGTTGGAACCCAAAATTGAGATTTCATAATCATGTTCATCGAGTTCTCTTCTCTCTTTGGTTGTTCTTTTTTAACAAACATAAAATGATAGGGATAAAATCTCTTTTTTTTTATGCCAAATATTATATAAAGTCACGTGATAAGAAGAGTAGTTTAATGGTTTATAATAATCGGCAATCCTTGATTTTTCTAGAGTATGATATAACTGGAAAATTTGTGAAGTCGGTTCAACAAACGATATTACAGCATATCCATGAAAGGGTAAATAACTTCCGTTATTATTAATCCTGGACGCAATGGCGAATAGATGCGATAGTAAACATAGATAGTGCACGAAAAACGAAATATTGTTCATAGCATCAGATTCAAATTGTACTTATCCGAGTTCATATATGAAATGCAATTTAATGCAGCGATGCCATTTTTCTTTGAAAGTTTTAAGACTATCAATATTGGCCACATCCTGAATTTATATATGAGCAGCGATGTCATTTTTCACTGAATGTTAGGATGCAGGATAGAAACCATGTAGATATTTATAATTAACATAATACAAAGCTAGAATTTCATTAAAAAATCTGTGTAAATATTGACGAGCAACCCGTTCGCAGTTATTGTAGAAGAGACATTGATGCATCGTTTAGGAAAAACTCCAGAGTGGTTTATGATCGAAAATCTGAAGTTAGGGTTAAAAATCTAATTGTTGCGCAAATAGCACAGCTGCAGGATATAAAATCATCTTTTTTTTTATATCTATATCACTTTGAGGGGGCAAGGGGGAATCCAATAACAGCAAAACAGCAAATTGATTTGGCTTAAAACAGATAACAAGGAATTGAAAAAGGATAAAAACAGATAACAGTAAATGAAATACTAAAATCATTCGGGTCCAAGACCAATCCAGCATATCTTATTATAATCCTTTGTAATAAATTCCATTTTCTATAAACATATAAACATGTATTTTAGAGTTATCTAGAATGGGTTTACTCAATGTAGGATAATAATTTTGTGTTAACCAAAACAAGTAGACTCAACCCTTGGATCAATATCTTTTGTAGATGATCTACTTTTGAGTGAAAAGGTCTACAGAACAGTATAAATAAATTTGGTAGTTTCTGTAAAAATTGGCAACTTACTCTAAATATAAATAAAACTAAAACCATGATTTTACAGCAACATATTGCCAAAAGTGTAGTTTCATTTCTTTACTACAATGGTACGTAATATGATTAAAAAAAATGAATTAGAGTATAAATTCCTAATGACTCTTATAAAGAGCAATGGTTACTTTATTTCAAGTTTAGAAGACCTAGCAAAAAAAAGCAAGAAAAGCCATGTTTTTGGTTAAAGCCAAGGTAGCTTCATTATGAAATCTTCCAATAGAAATTTTTAGTAATCTTTTTGATAAAGAAGTTCAATTAGTTTTAACTGATAACTCGGAGATATCCTGTATGGATAGCTATACATTTGTTTTCCTTGTGTTCATTTCTTTTAGAATTGTTATTTCTTTGCTATATTATGTTTGTTTTTGTTTTTTGTCACAAGCTAATTATGTTTATATGACAATAAAGATATTATATGATATAATGGCCATATGTTTTCCTTTTTGTAATATTAAGAATTGATCGAATTTAACATTTACATATGGGGATACAGGGAACACTATCCCCATATATATGTGAAAAATCAAATTCGAACAATTCTTAATATTACAAAAAGTGAAACATATGGTCAGGGATACATGATGATAATCGGCCTAGGTCCATACGACCTTAACAGAAACACCTTTTTAAACAGGGCCGAGTCTGTGTTTCTTATTGTATAAATTTTATAAAATACGGAACACAGACTCAGCTCTGTGATTCTTTTCTAAGAATACACACACTAATTTATTACAAGCATTTGCAAGTTTCTTTAAAAGCACAAAAAAAATGCCGAAAAAAAGTATTGAATTTCATAACAAAAAATAATTATCCATTGAGTAAACCTGAATTCTAGGAAACTCTAAATACATGTTCATAGAAAATGGAATTTATTACAAAGGATTACAATAAGATATACTGAAATTGCCCTGGACCCGACTGATTTTAATATGTTTAAATGGTGTGAATGTTACTAGAATCCCTCTCCAGATGAGGGACTACCATATTACCAGCGGCAAGAACCAAATGCTGAATGATTTTCAATTTCTACCAAAAATTGGCTGCCAAAATGCTAACATTCCAATTTCCAATAACAGTTAACAGCAAATACATTCTCACAATAACAGATAACAAAAAAAATGATAGTCTAATAACAGCTATCAAGGAATAAGCCAATAACAGCTAACAGCAAATATATTTTCAGAATAACAGATAACAAAGAATTAAATTGCCCCAAAACAGCATAACAGTTAAACCCCTTGCCTCCCTCTTTGAGATTTTGATAGTCTTTCTAATAATTCTTGATCATTCTTGGCTCCCCGTGGGAAACAAGCTTAATAGATCATGGTTATCTTTGTGTGCAATTCTGTTAATAAACTTGTGAATTTGGGGTAAACCATCTTCTATTTGAACAAATTATTGTCTTTTTACTGTATTTGTGATATCGAACAAAGGGACATAATCACCACTATACGAACGTCCTACATATTAATCTCCAACGTTCTACATAATGCTCTATTGATAATATGTCAACATTTTTTGTGACATATGCATTCCTCAACATTTTACTCTAGGACGTTGGTACGGCCACATAAACTTTTATTTCAAATAATGGCTAGCCGAAGAAGCTCATCGTCACCATTAGAAAAGGATCTATTTCCATTTTCGCTAGGAAAAGGTAAGATTTGTGTTATTTTTCCAGCCAAACGGAAGTCATGTACTGATGTAGTGGATGAGTCTGTCGATTTTACACTGCAAATTTCATCTCACAACAATATTGTTGCTGTAAGTAAGTCTGTATCGCTATCTATCGATCTTCTCGTCTAGGAGTGGACTCATTTTGAGCGTAGAAACACCAGCGTGGTGGAATAGCTAAAAACTCTCAGTTGTGTACAGTTTTAAAAATAAAGTTTGTGTGTACAGTTAACAAATGTAAGGTGCTCTATATTAGTTGTGTGAATAGCGTAAATGTTCCACAGACGGGGAAGCTCGGATATCTGGATTATGGTATTCCAAGATATGATGGTAGCAGGTATAAATGAATATTGAAACAGTCGTTGACTCAAGTTTGGTTCTGTAACGTGTAACCAGGCGTTTATATCGTAAACGTACGTTCCAGTAAATACTTGGATCCAAGCTGTCCAAACAATACGGCAATACTAAAAGCTATTACTATCTATCTTATGCACAATGAACCAAAATATATACACTAGCTATTTGCCGATCCAAAGTAACAATGAACAATAAAACAATTATATATACACCAATATAATATTAAACAGCCTGTCCTCCAAGTGGGACTATCTGTCACTATATACAAGACAGTGCGGGCTGGTATAGTATGTTGCTACCAGACAGTCTGGGCTGGTACAGCTTGTCCTCCGAGTGGGACTATCTGTCACTATATATAAGACAGTGCGGGCTGGTACAGTATGTTGCTACCAGACAGTCTGGGCTGGTACAGCTTGTCCTCCGAGTGGGACAGACTGTCACTAACAAACAATGCGGATTGTTGCAGTCTGTCCTCCGAGTGGGACAGTCTGCTCTACCAACTTTCAATGTTAGACCAACTTGTACCCAGTACAAGTTGTCCCCAGTACAAGTTGTCCTCCTATCTAACTTACAGCTATGTAACGTACTCACTATTGTAAGCTGGTCTTCTTTTGTAAGAATATCGACAGAACCCGAATTGTATTCCTCACCCCCTTATATACTCCAGGGCGAATACACTATTTACTGGATAGGGGTGTTCTCTAAATGTTCCCGATACCGAACACAAGAATCCCTCTCAAACACCCCCATACCCTTGGACCCAACCACTGACTTTCCCGCCAAACGTCTAAATCCACACAATGCTTCCTTCTGCGTGAAATATGCATGTATACAACAAGATTCTTCTTGTTTGTTACCTTAACAACCAATAAACATTACATAACCCACGCCTCAATCTACATGCGTCCCGCATGATTAAATAATACTAAAATATAATAAATAATACTTTATTTAGCCAATATCTTTGGTTTGAAATATGTCCACTCAATATCTGAAAAGCTTTAGATGGCTTCTTTAACTTCCACTATACGGATCTTCTTTGGACCTTCTCGATAGGTTGTTTCAGTTTTTACAGTTCTCGTATACAACAACGAGTCTGTTTGAATACCACACGAAACTAAATTCACTTTCCTTTTCCTACATGTTGAACAGAGAGCAATATTTTCCTTCTCATTGACTTTACTTTCCCCTTTGTCTGGGTTGTCCACTGGTAATCCTTTTGCATCGGTACTCTTATTACCAACTGCAAAAATCTCTGGTCCCAGTCTTCCAACAAAAGTACCTCTCACTCCTGGAAGCCGAGGAGTAGTCTTTTGTCTGATTATCCGACCCAATTCTGTGTTACAAACAACAGTTCTTTCATCTGGTTTAATTGTCACCATGTAGTCATCTTTCTTGTTTTCGGTCTCTTTTAATCCTGTATCCTTCTCTTCTTCTTTATCACGGTGTGCACTTTCATCACTGTCCTGTCCAAGAATGTCTCCTGGATCCTGTCTTTTCCATTCATCCTCAGACTCGGACTCTGATGAACCGCTGAGCAGGTCTTTACTCTTACTAGTATTTGCCTCTTTGTCACTATCACTATCATCGTCTTTCTGATGTTTAGTTTTCATGTGTCTCAGTAAGTTCTTTGACTTGTCTGTATGGTAGAAACAGCCACCTTCAGTACAAAACAATCTTTCATTTGCACAAGAAGCCAGATAATTATCTCTTTCATCTTTACAGTCAAATGAAGTGGGACAAAAACCACATTTCCACTGTTCTTTTTTTCTTATTGTAATTTTTGTTTTTGCCATCTTGATTCTGCAAATATAAAACAACAAATATTGAATCTATATACAACAATAAACTAAAACTTAATCAAGTATATAATCAGCCATCCAGACTGGTCTTTTTCTTTCACGACGACCACTTTCTTCTTCTATACTCATTCTGTCATCCTGATCTATGACATTATCAAATATATCAATTTCACGTGGTTCTGTTACTTGGGGATTATCAATGTCTTCATACATTTCCCCTCTCAACACCTGCTTGTGTTTGAGTTTTATCCTATCCACATGAATGATCTGCGGAGTCCCTCGGACACCACAGCCAATCTTATATGTAAGGTCACCGCTTTTCTCTAAAATTGTGAAAGGTCCTCTCCAAAAACTAGTCAGTTTTGGAGATTTTCCCGTTTTCCTTACAGGGAAGTAGACATATACTTGATCTCCCGATCTAAAACTTTCATATGATAATTTGAGATCATGATACCTCTTTTGTCTCCTCATTTCTCCTGGCATTCTTTGCCTAACAAAAGAATGTGCATCCTCCAATCTTTCTTTTAGTTCCCAAGCCCATTTATGTTGTGGTATACCTTTAATAGATGGCGGCATCTCATACAATATATCTAACGGAGTTGTACTTTCCCTACCAAACATGAGTCGGTTTGGAGTCTGTCCAGTTGTTTCATGTTCGGATGCCCTATATGCCATCATAACAAAGGGGATATACTTATCCCAATCTCTTTGATGTTCTTGGACATATGCACTAAGCATTGTCACTAATGTCTTGTTGAATCTTTCTACCATACCATCCGATTGAGGATGATAGGGTGTAGTCCTGGTTTTCTTGATATCAAGTACTTTACAAACCTCTTGAAACAATCTACTTTCATATTGTCGTCCCTGGTCAGAGTGAATCCAGGACGGAACTCCGAATCGAGCTATTACCTCCTCTACAATTATTTTGACAACAGTACTTGCTTCCATATTGGGCATAGGGAATGACTCTGTCCATTTAGTATAGTAGTCTGAAACAACTAAGATATACCGATTGCCATTTTCAGTTTCCGGAAGTTCCCCAAGAATATCAGTAGCTAACCTTTCCATAGGACTACTTGTCTCTACTATGGCCATTGGAGCACGTTTCTTTTTCGTTGGGGTTTTCCTCATAGCACACTTATCGCAACCAGCGACATATGCCCTAACGTCAGCTTGCAAACCTGGCCAATAGTAAGACAGGCGTATTTTCTCTAGAGTCTTACGCATACCTAAGTGACCTGCATACTTTGCATCATGACAGTAGTGTAAAACCTGTTTTCGTTCAGACAATGGAATTACAGCTTGCAATTTCACAACTTTCCGTTCGTTGTCGTCAAAGTGTCTGAATACTAAATCATCTTGAAGTTCTAAACTATTAAACTGACTCCATAATGACCTTATAAAGAAACCTTTACCGGATACCTCATTGTAAAGTGGCCTTTGACCATCTGTCAGCCACTGCTTAACTTGTTTAAGGTCTGGGTCGTTTGATTGTATATCTGTCAACGTCAAGTCTCTATCATGGTCAGGCATCTGACTAGTAACTATTTTAACCTGACTTTCTTCAGTCTTGGGACAATCACTGCTCATTTTTGACTGCCAGTCTGACGTATACCCACATTGTTTACAGGGAATACGACTTAGTGCGTCAGCATTCCTGTGCTGGGTACCTGGTCGATGCTGAATGTGCATATCATAAGCACTCAGTGTCTCAATCCATCTAGCCACTTGACCTTCTGGATTTTTGAAATTCAGCAACCACCGAAGCGAGCTATGATCCGTTCTGATCGTAAATTTTCTCCCATATAAATATGGTTTAAAATACTTCACAAAGTATACCACAGCTAGCAACTCTTTGCGTGTCACACAATATCTACGCTCCGATTTAGACATGGAGCGACTGGCATATGCTATAACCTTTTCCTTACCGTCGTCATGACGTTGTGATAGGACACCCCCTAATGCGACATTGCTAGCATCTGTATCTAAGATGAACTCCTTGTTAAAATCAGGATGTGTTAATATTGGGGCGTTTGTCAACTTTATTTTAAGTAGATCAAATGCATGCTGACAATCAGATATCCATTCAAACCGTTTGCCTTTTTCAGTCAAAACATGCAGACATTTAGCAATCGAGGCAAAGTTTTTGATGAACTTTCTATAATAGCTGCACAGACCTAAAAATGAACGAACTTCAGTAGGGTTTGTTGGAACAGGCCAATTTTGTACAACCTTAATTTTCTCAGGATCAGTGGCTATTCCATCTTCTGAAATTATATGCCCTAGATAACGAACCATGGTAACACACAGGTTACACTTTTTAGCCTTAAGCTTTAAGCCTGCTGATTTTAATCTGTCAAAAACTGTCCTTAAATTAACCAACATATCGTCTAATGTCTTGCCAAATATAATAATGTCATCTAGATATACTAGACATATCTCCCATTGGAGCCCTGCTAAAACAGTTTCCATTAAACGCTCAAACGTTTGTGCAGCACAGCACAACCCAAACGGCATTACCTTAAACTGAAACAACCCTTTTCTTGTTGCAAATGCCGTCTTATGTTTATCTTTCTCTGCCAGTTCAACTTGCCAATATCCAGAGCAACAATCTAGAGTACTAAACCAGCTGTTGCCTGCAAGATGGTCAAGTGATTCATCTATTCTAGGCAGTGGATATGCGTCTTTATTGATAGTCACGCTATTCAGTTTCCTGTAATCCACACAAAAACGGTATGTGTCGTCCTTTTTCCTAACCAAAACTATCCCCGCAGCCCATGGGCTGTGAGAAGGTTCTATAACCTTATTTTCTAACATTTTATCTATATTGTCATTGACAACTTTAGATAAATGAAAAGGTGTGCGGCGAGGAGGTTCTTTGAATGGCCTAGCATTACCAGTTTCTATTTCATGTTTGACTAAACTAGTCTTACCTAAGTCTGAATCTGTTTCAGCAAACAGACTTTCATATTCTTGCACCAAACGTTTGACCTTCTGTTTTTCTGACCTTGATAATTTGTCAGATGTTCTGTTCAAAAGATCATGCAAATCTGATCTAAACTCCTTTTTGTTTTGTCCGTCATTATGAGAGGGCAAAGATTTTGCTACGTGGCTGATTTCACACATCTGTGCAATAGTTGTGCCCGGAAATATAGTCTTAGCCTCGTTTTCTACGTTCATGAGTCTGACTGGTATACTGTTATTTGATTTGACTAAGGAACGTGCCGTCAAAATGTAATCTTTCCCTTTATTTTCACTAGCTTCTACTAAAACATCATTTGTTGGCAATGTCTGACCTTCTGTCAAGCAAACTTTCCCAGAAACTACTATCTCTGATCGAGCTGGTATCGTAACAGATTCTGTAGAAACCACTCTGAAACATCCTAATGTACCTTGAAAAATTAAGGGAACACTAAGGTTATCGATGTGAAATATGTTTTCAGACACATCAACCAGACACTTGTTTTTCTTCATAAAGTCCAAACCCAGAATGCCATCTACTTGTAGTTCGGTTACTACGGCCTCTGAAGTAAACCTTTCTGTACCAAAATCAAGTTTAAAATTGCCTTTACCTCTAAGGTTCAAATAGTTTCCACATGCGGACTTAATTTGTGACTTAGTTGCACTCAGATGTGGCCTATACAAGTCAGGAATTAGATCATACACTTTTGTAGAAACTAGAGTTAGTGTAGCTCCAGTATCTACCACAAACTTGACTAGTATATCGTGAATGAGTAACTCGACAAACATTCCTGCATCTTCTGATGCTGAAATGACAGCGCCTTTATCTTTATTTGCAGCCTTATCTCCAGACTTCAGTGTCTTGACCGATCCGTCCGTATCAGGTCCTTTCGTATATCCTCCCCGAGTACTTTGTTTCTTAATATTGTTGGGACAATTTCTTGCAAAGTGTCCTATTTTACCACAACTAAAACAAGGACCACCCCTTTTTCTGTTGTTTTGAGTATTATTGGTCTCCCCACGTGGTTGGAACTTTCTTTGGGAGTTTAAATCTTTAAGCGTCATCATGTCTTTCGTTAAAGACTGTAAATTATTCTCAATCGTCTGCATCCATGTCGCCATATTCTCCATTGATACAACGGTATCCGGACTGTTAGATGCTTCTGTCCGTTCGTCACTCGTAGTCTGTCGTAAGTGACCAAGACTTTTCATTGTTCTACTCTCAGCTTTGTTATAAGCTTCAAGCTCAACAGCCAACCGTATAGCATCATTGAGACCTTTAGGACGAGACTGTTTAATTCTCAGTCTCATTTCAGAGTCTACTAATGCGTCTAAAAATTGTTCCTTGGCGAGCGTGTCTCTTAATTCTAATGGGGCAGTCGGGTATGCCAGATTAGACAGTCGTCTAACTGACTGACCTAACTCCGGTAGAGTTTCACTTGCTTTCTGTCGTCGTTCTTTGAACTGAACACGATAAAGTTCCGTTTGACTGGATGGAGCAAAGCGTTCCTCCAGTGCATATACTAGGTCTGAAAATATTTGTCTCTTTTCCTTTGGTAAATCACCCAGGACTGCTTGGGCCTGTCCAATCAGTGACACGGCCAAGTACAAACCTTTTTGATGTTCAGACCACATATTAACAAGGGCACACATCTCAAAGTGTGATAAATAATCCATCCAAGGAGTAATGCCATCATATTTTGAAGGTTTGATTTTAACATCATTTGAACCAGAGCTTACAGTATGAGCAGTGCTTTGATTTTTTGTTAATTCCTGCTTAGGATTAATATTTTGATATTTGTCTTGCCCAATGGATTTTCTATTATTCAAGTGAGGATTTGTTATGATATCCCTATCTGGCAAAGGCAGTGTATCACCAACGGCCAGTCCAACAGGTGTTGATAGAGACGGCCCTGTCGTCACTACGCCTGAATCATGTTCTCTGTTTTCAACAACCTTTGGACGTACACCCTGATCTCTAGGTGTAGAAGATATAAAACCTTGTCCATGTTGTATTGTGCTTTCACTAAGCGACTGTATTTGCCTACTAATTTCAGCAATCTGATCGTCAATATTTGACATATTTATTGCAGTATAGAGTAATCTAAACAAAACAATTATGGTGTTGTAATATTTTATTATATCAAACACTCGTGTTACAACTCAGCCGTGAACTATAACTATGCCTCACGGTTGATTTACTTTAATCTTTTAAATAAATATTCATGTCAACTGACAATCGATAATGAAAATCAATCAATCAAATACTATGTGATAGACAACTTGAATCCCAACCGCTAGCCACCAAATATGTAACGTGTAACCAGGCGTTTATATCGTAAACGTACGTTCCAGTAAATACTTGGATCCAAGCTGTCCAAACAATACGGCAATACTAAAAGCTATTACTATCTATCTTATGCACAATGAACCAAAATATATACACTAGCTATTTGCCGATCCAAAGTAACAATGAACAATAAAACAATTATATATACACCAATATAATATTAAACAGCCTGTCCTCCAAGTGGGACTATCTGTCACTATATACAAGACAGTGCGGGCTGGTATAGTATGTTGCTACCAGACAGTCTGGGCTGGTACAGCTTGTCCTCCGAGTGGGACTATCTGTCACTATATATAAGACAGTGCGGGCTGGTACAGTATGTTGCTACCAGACAGTCTGGGCTGGTACAGCTTGTCCTCCGAGTGGGACAGACTGTCACTAACAAACAATGCGGATTGTTGCAGTCTGTCCTCCGAGTGGGACAGTCTGCTCTACCAACTTTCAATGTTAGACCAACTTGTACCCAGTACAAGTTGTCCCCAGTACAAGTTGTCCTCCTATCTAACTTACAGCTATGTAACGTACTCACTATTGTAAGCTGGTCTTCTTTTGTAAGAATATCGACAGAACCCGAATTGTATTCCTCACCCCCTTATATACTCCAAGGCGAATACACTATTTACTGGATAGGGGTGTTCTCTAAATGTTCCCGATACCGAACACAAGAATCCCTCTCAAACACCACCATACCCTTGGACTCAACCACTGACTTTCCCGCGAAACGTCTAAATCCACACAATGCTTCCTTCTGCGTGAAATATGCATGTATACAACAAGATTCTTCTTGTTTGTTACCTTAACAACCAATAAACATTACAGTTCTTATCTGTCTGATACATCATACTGTTTACAATTGAACCACGGTACCTGGTGTTGAGGAAGCGGAGCAGGTGGTGGACAGGAACTTCTACAACACTGTTCACGATTTTGTAGAACATTACTACTCTGTTTTTGGCTCTCCTGTGTCCCTCTAGTGGTTTCCAACCTAGTTTTTGAATCATGTGTGTGACACAGACAGGATTCCTAGTGTTTTAATCCCTTGTGACAAATCGAGCAACCTGACGTTGTACATTTCCTAGTTGTTGGATTTGCTGTTGCTGGTAGAGATCCCAGACAGAGTTGTCATACTCGAGAAAATGCCTCACTAAAGTTGAGTAAGCCTGACTCTTTACGGCATTGGGACAATTCCTGAGATTCCCGAGCAGGAATCCAACTGATCTTATGGCTTTCGTTGTCTGGTTGATGTGCTCTCACCACGACAGATCATTGCTGATGTAAACGCCAAGTACTTTCCACATGGGACACTTTCAAGGGTAAGACTATGAAGAGTCTATAAACTTGATCAGGTTGCGTTTCTTGCAGATTTGTATGGCGGTACAGTTCTGTGTATGGACACGTGTGTATGGAATGCCATCTGCCAATCTTTTTCTCATTTTTCTAGTTGAGGTAATATATACAATATGCAAATAAGGATATGTGGTATGATTACCCATGAGACTATAAAGTACAAAGATGTAAACAATTACACGTCACCAGACGACCTTCAATAATGAAGTAAGCACATACAACATAGTAAGCTGTGAAAGGTACTGGAATGACAAAATGTGAAACAAGTGAAAAGAAAATAGAATTACGACAAACACCAACCAATAGCAATCAGACTGACTCCTGGCTTAGGACAGACACACAAAAATCTGGCGAGGTTTGATATATTTTGAGCACTCAACCCTCTCCTAAGGCCCTCACCAGGAACAGTGGTGTAACGCAATATACGAAAAAAAATCAGTTTTGTAGGGTAACCCCATTACCGATATAATACAAATTTCGAAAAGACTGCATAGAAACTAATTAAAAGAATCTCGAGCTCCGCTATTCGTATTTGACGATAACTTTGAACAGGATGGTGTGGAACATGTTTGTGGTCATGTCTTTCACTGATATTCAGTAATGGTCGACCAATGACATTCGTTAAACTTTAGAAGATATAACTTCAACTCAACTTAACCCCTGGTTTAGTAACTTTGAATGGACCAACCTTCCATTACGGTAATACCGATTGGAAACGCCTGCTTTTGAATAACGAATCAACTGTGAGACGTATTATATTTCATATGCATGCGCTGGTTGAAAACTGAGTACCGCTTTATATAGATGAAAAGTTCACAGGAGAATTTCTTTATTTAGAATAAATTATTCATTTGAAGAGTGGTTTGGGTAATGAAAAAAAACCTAACGGTCTTACTTTTCTTTCTTAAATGCTATATATACCAAGTTATTTTTGAGTTTCATGCATCGTATTGTGGTCATTTATATTAACTTTGGATCTCCTTTCATCCCCAGGTCATTGTAAAAATTCTGTGAATATAATGTAAAATATGCTCCAAGTATAAATATGTATTTTTATTGTTCCTGTATTCTGTCAAGACTTAATCACCTCTTTTTCTTCATCTGAATATTCTATATTTTTTTCTGTCACTACTACTGCTTATAAAAATCATATTAGTATTGATTTAGAACTATCATATAAAATCTTCTTCCAGACACAAAATGTCCACCTCTTACTCCTGGTGTGATGAGAATTTACAGCATGAGATTTTGTCCTTTTGCACAGAGAACTCGACTAGTTTTACAATACAAAGGAATACCGTAAGTACCAAGTTATGAAAAAATACAACATTCCCTTTTCACTATTATTATTCTTTGTAGATTTAGATTTAAAATCATAGATTTAAAAGCAATAGTTTCATAAATTTTATAGTATATCTCTAAAGAATGAAGCTGTGCAATCTTAAATGATTCATTCAGGCACAGTTTAATCCTGCTTTCCAAATAATGTGCCGATTTTGTTCCCTTGTTCTAGTTGGTGGTCATCCTGTTGGTAACTGTGCAGGTTTTTTATTGTGTGTTTTATTTTAACGACATGCAAAGAGTGAGGCTCGTGCGTACGTAAAACTGGTTTAATCCCACCAAATGTTGTGGCTGTACTTAGTCCTCTGGGTATCTGGACCATGTGTTACTCGTTTGTTGTTTGTCTTTGTTATTATGTATATTTTTGGAGTAGTTGGATGTTAGTGGTTGGTGTGGTCTTTGTTAATGTCCAATATTTTTGGTAGTTGCTGTTATCTTTTGTATGTATAATATAACTCGAATGAAATATATACAATATGCAAATAAGGATATGTGGTATGATTACCCATGAGACTATAAAGTACAAAGATGTAAACAATTACACGTCACCAGACGACCTTCAATAATGAAGTAAGCACATACAACATAGTAAGCTGTGAAAGGTACTGGAATGACAAAATGTGAAACAAGTGAAAAGAAAATAGAATTACGACAAACACCAACCAATAGCAATCAGACTGACTCCTGGCTTAGGACAGACACACAAAAATCTGGCGAGGTTTGATATATTTTGAGCACTCAACCCTCTCCTAAGGCCCTCACCAGGAACAGTGGTGTAACGCAATATACGAAAAAAAATCATTTGAGAAGGGCTTGATAACCACCACAAAAAATAACAAAAAGATTAAAGACAAATAGTACTGATCCAAGGATATTCACAGTATTGCCTGAAAGCTAGTTCAAAGCCCAATTTCAACTAATACATAAACCATCTACGACCAGACTTAAATGTTTAAAACAAATCCAAAGGAATTAGTGTATAGACGTCAGAAACAGTCTGCGAAATGCATGACCTTGCACAGTGCCAAAATATAACTATCGATAGGATGTATGACTATAAGTTAATTCCCTGTTTGCTGTTAAAGGACAATGAGATTACTATTCAGCAGGTCACATCAGATTAACAAATAAAAATCTAGAATTAGATAAATAAAATACCACCTATTACATTTAACATAGATAAATAAAACACTGCACGAATAAATGATGGATGGGTTAAATGTCAATAAGGCAGCAATCCTGCAATACAATATGATAAAAAAGATATTTAGAGGTCAATAAAAGGTCTTTATTTATAAACATGTTTCTTTACCATGTAAATTGCTAATTTTTCTGACTATAAAGGTTAAAAGAAGCCTCAAAGATGAAGAAGACAGTACAGAAAAAGCACTTCACATTTCAGCTCAAATTGCGTTCTATATCAATGTATATTATTCATGAAAAAAGATCTGCTACAATTTTTATTTTTAAATTGTTTTTTAAATACTTATTACATTTCAGACATGAACTTGTCAATATTAACTTGAAGCAGAAGCCAAAGTGGTTACGTGAAAGATACCCTGCTGGACTGGTACCTATCCTGGAGAAAGATGGCCGAGTCGTGTACGAGTCCAGTGTTTGTAATGATTATCTTGACGAGATGTACCCTGAACCCAAACTCACTCCGTCTGACCCCTTTAAAAAGGCTGAAGATAAAATGTTATCCGAAACCTTTTCAAAGGTAATTTAATGTCAAAAATATCTAGATCCTTCTTAATAACATCTTTATAAGCTGATATATAGTTGTGCATCTACAGGAGACACCAATGGACGATTCTTCTGGCTAAATTGTTGCATAATACTGCACCATGCAGATGAACAAAAACAATTAAAATATCATAAAACGAGATAATAAGTTTTCCTTCAACTTTTTGTTGTTGTATCAGAGTTGCTATTTTGTTAAACATGTTTGTGTTGTTATAATTATTTGTTCGTGTTTTTATAAATGTTAGTGTTGTGTAAAGCGTTTGTGTTTTGATAAGTGATTGTGTTATTATAAGTGTTCCTGTTGTTATAAATGTTCCTGTTGTTATAAGTGTTCCTGTTGTTATAAGTGTCCATGTTGTTTGTGTTATCATAAGTTATCATAATTGTTTATATTGTTATAGGTGTTTACATTGTTATAAGTTTTCGTATTAATTTAAGTGTTCAATTTGTTATAAGTGTTATTGCTGTTCCAAATGTTCCTGCTGTTATAAGTGCCCCTTCTGTAACAAGTGTTTCTGTCGTTATACATGTTCTTTTTGTTAGAAGTGTTTTAATTTGTTATTTTAGGTGTTCGTGTTGTTTTAAGTGTTACTGTTGTTATAAATGTGCATGTTATTAGAAGTGTTCATGTTGTTATAAGTTTCCTGTTATACGTGTTCCTGTCGTTGTACGTGCTCATGTTGTTAAAATTGTTTATGTTGTTATACGTGATTGTGTTGTGATTGGTATTCTTGTTGTTATAAGTGTCCTGTTTTAAGTGTTCGTGTTGTTACAAGCTTTCTTGGCGTTATAAGTGTTCCTGTTGTTATAAGTGTTCATGTTTTTAAAAGTGTTAATATTGTTTTAAGTGTTTGTGTTATCATAACTGTTCATGCTGTTTTAAGTGTTCCTGTTGATATAAGTGTACGTTGTGTACCACACACCTTACCATACATTGAATATTGTTCATTAAGATACTTTTTTTCTGTATTGTTCTAGGTTATAGCATTATATTATGAGGTTCCGGCATCGCTTGCTAATGACACCTTTCCTGTTACCTTGAAAAAATATTTACGTGAAATGCAACGTTACGAAAACGCCTTGGATAAAAGGGGAGACTTTTTTGGAGGTAAGATGTAAGACTAGTCAAAATAACATACCCCCGTATATCGGATTTTTTTTGCGTGTGTCTAACTCTCAGTATTTTCGCGGTAGATATTTTCGTTTAAAGCATTGTACAATGACATGAAACGCGAATAATGAACACAGCGAAGATTTCAAGGACTGTGCCACCTTAGACCTAAACCTCGAACAAAACCCGACGCAAAAATAATCCCATATACGGTAATTCAGTCTGATATGTGGTGAGATCATTGACAAAGCTAAGGTATATGCATGACACACTATACATCCGGTTTTATTCTGGAATAATCCTCATGTATACTGATTGTAATCCATATGGTAATATGTAATTTCATTATAGTACTCTGGGCATTCTCAGATAAAAACTTACATGAGTGAAGATGAAATCATATGAAATAAATTGCAAATGACGACATGTCAAACTTATAAAATCTACTCAACATGACGTGAGAAATCAAACTTCACAGAATATATTTTGAGTTTATCAGAGCCATTGAAATCTATTTTTAGATTGTCAGTCCTAGTAAAAATTGCTAGTAAGTACTGACAGGACTGATAAATATCGACATCTGTGAGTACTTAAATGACAGTTTGTTAGTTCTTCTACTAGTATCTAATCTGTTACATTTATCTGTGCTTAATTTATTGACTGTTTAAACATGTTTGTTTGTAATATTGGAAACCACTTTGACGATAATAGTCAAGGTAAATCATCCGTTTGTGTTTTTCTATAGATACCGCTTTCGATATACACTTTTGTATGCTCGTTTGGTGTCAGTTCAGGTCTTGCGTCGTATACTGTAAACGTCGGACTACAAATTCTTAAAACGTTATTAGCAGGGTCCGAACAGTATCAGACCCAAAACCTGAACTGACTGTGCGGTAAATTTGTTGCTGCATAGATAACGTATTAATCAAAATTCGCCTGGTAAAACATCAGTCCCTACAACCGTTTCTAAGACGAGCGTTCAATGACATCGCTATTTTTATTTTTCATTTTTTATGCAGGTGCAAAACCAAATATGGTGGATTTTATGATATGGCCTTGGTTTGAACGCATTAGTGTCATAGCTGTTGTGGCACCGGAAACGGATATTACAAAAGATCGATTTCCACGGTTGGCTGCTTGGATGAAACGCATGTATGAAATACCTGCTGTCATAAACACATACGTGAAACCTGAGCATCATGCACATTTCTTTAAAACCTTACGAGAGGGAAGTCCAGAGTATGACCATGGAATATTACAAAGCAATTTATAAATCACTCAACATTTCAAGTACAGTACCTATATCGTGTAACCTGTTTATAATGACTGTGATTGATCATAACGATCAGTCTGTGGACATTATGATATATTTATGTTAAGTTGCAGTAGAACATAAATACATGTATATTCATATTGATTTAATCACATTAGGTGGATACTTGCCATTAAAAATTATGACCATTTGCCAAACTACATGAACCTTGACTTGATTTGAACTTAGAGAAACGGTGAAGACCGGGCTGCGGACATACAATAAAACGCAACACAAGCACATAATCGTTATGTAAATAACAGAAACAACAGACAACTAAATGTTGATTGTTACAAGAACAAAGACAATTGTGCCTCACAGTTCGTTCATATAAATATGCCCCTACTATTCATTTGTGGGAAATGTGCTGTTTTGTCTTGACCTCTATAGGTTCCAAGAAATTGTAAATACGAAGCCTTTTACAGTTTATTTAGGGAGGGAATGAAAGTTTTGATGGAATACTTAACAAATTGTGTACCTATTTATTACCAGAAAGATTTTTGGTGATAACTGTAGCTAACCATTTTAACTTATTACAAGCTTGTCAGTGAACATTCTTCCAGTACATTAATAAATTGAAAAGAGTGAAACGTGAAATTTCTTGACATAATGTGTTGTTGTGAACCTATATAATTATTTCTTTTCATTGGTTATTTTGATTCAGTTGCTGGTCTTTGTAATTAATTATACAGGGAGATATTTATATACATATATCAGAGGCCAACTTTAATTATATATTTGAAGTTTGTTATTTGTATTTGTATTTTTATTCAGTTGTTTCAAATAGTTGTGTTTGTGTGTGTGGCTAGGTGTGTGTGAAGATGTGTGTTGTAGAGTATTCATCTTTGAATTGCTATTGAATTAATTGACAATAAAACTGAGCAAAATGTTAGTGTCTTTGTTCGTGTGTGAATAACTTTAAGACATCTTTACGCTGAATAATATTTACTTGTTACACAACTGATTGATAATTAATTGAAATATTGAAATACGACTTTTAAAACGTGGCAGATTTCCTTTACAAATATGTATAATCATGTTGTCAGCCCTGTAAAGGTGTCAGACCACCAATTCAATTTAGAATTGGCCCTTCCCTGACAAAAATAGTACTTTGATGTCATTTTTTATTAAACTAATAAACACATTTGCAGAAATGAAACTTAAGGTGAAAAAAAATAAATGTAGAACATATTGAACTCAAAATGTACTTGTCCATGATTTTGTATTAAAACTGAGGATTGATGCGCTCTATAGTATACTTATTTAAGATTTCATGAAATTCTGGGGTTATATTTGGTAGCAGTTGACTGCCGAATGGTGGCGTTTCACTGCAAGACTTTTAACATTGGTTGAAAATTGGCATATAGAAAGGGGATACATGTACAATTCAGAATATATCTTGTTTCTATGAATTTAAACTTAAGGTAAAATATTTAGAAAGCTGTGAAAATTGTAATGGTTGATTATATAGGGGTTTGGAATTGGTAGTCTGGACACCTAAACTTCATGTAGAGACTAGAATACACCTTATCGCTATTCCCGGCTGACCCGAGAATCTGTCCCGCTTGAACTATTGACGTCATACAACAATCACTTTTCAATTGTGGGCGTCAGATATTTTGTATTATGACGTCAAAATTTTACGGGAACCTGTGTGATATCCAGTAATGGCGGACAAATAGCGATAAGGTGTATTGTAGTTGAGTGGCTGCTGTACAAGGAAATTGAAACTGTTTTGAAACTTCAAGACCGGGGCACCAAATAAAACGCAAAACAAGCTCATAATCATTATATCACATATGAGCATGTAATTATACAGACACAACTGGCAACTAAACGTAGAAATAACAATTTCCATAAAACAAGGTTTGTTCTCAGGTGCTAAAAGTATAAAAAGAAAACATTGTATGGCCAAAGGAACGTTATTATCAGATCAGATGAGAGTATGGTACATATCACATTAAATATGTCATCTTTGAGACAATCCTGCTTCAGGGGGGGGGGGGGGGGGGGGGGGGGGGGGGGGGGGGGGGGGGGCTGATACCAGTCAACACAAGGCAAGTATTATAGATTTGTATTTTAGAAAAAGAGTAGAAGTTAAATTGTAGATGTCAACTGCATCATGTCCTGCTTGGATATTAATAATGCGTATGTTGAGTGGAAAATGCTCTGAGACGCATACTCCTCGCTTAATAAAATTCCAAATGCTCTGAGACGCATACTCCTCGCTTAATAAAAATTCAGACTCGGAAAGGGGGGGGGGGGGGATAATTGCATATGAGCAAAAGGAATTGTGAAGCATATGTCAATGAGACAATAACCCAACGACACAAACATACACAGACATGTGGAGGTCAACAGCAAGTATTCATCAAAAGACGGGTGTCTATCTATACTATTAAACGTGAAGACCTCATTTTGTGTGTCGCTTCTCTTCCTTCCACAATAAATTAATCATCATGCCTTTGTGTCCTATAGGTACATTGTACCATGCATAGTCGCATTTGTCATCCTCGCTTATGATTATTCCGTTTGGGTTATTTTGGGAGAAAAGCGATAATAAAGGCGTCCAGATATTGTTTCCGTCATCGGTTGGTCTTTTAAGTAATATACTAGACTTCCGTTTAGGAAGGTTTAAATTACACATAGTTTCCATGAGGGTCGTAACGGGGGTACCTTCATGACGAATAACGGTAAAAGTTCTTGCCAAATGACGTTAACGGGTATTTTTGGTGTATGACGATAAAATGTACACTTTCTTTTAGACGATAAAAACATCGACTGATTTTGACGAATAACGATAATTATTTGAGACCTCTGACGAATCACGCCGGGTAAAAATTTTAACCAATTTGACGCTAACGGTAGCCGAAATGACTGTTTGACGCCTGACGTTAAAGGGCATTACTACCCTCTTTCATAGGTGCTTGGGGGACAGGACATTTTTCCCCGCTTTATCTGTATACTATGAACATACATATACTATAAATAAAGTGTACATTGTATTTGCTATATACTCAGTATCAATTCCAAGTTTACCATCAACGGCGGTCATATATTACATGCTTAACTTTTACTTTCTTTTTGGCTACTTATGCTTATTTGATCCAACTTATTGTGTACTATACATATATGGATATCTATTATTTTCTTTCTCTCTGTTTGGGCTGTTTGTATGTTATCTATATCGACCACACTTGCATTAAAATGTATTAGATATTTATAAAAAAAAATATTATACATTCTTTATCTACATATTCTTTAAGAACTTAGTAAATAGTTCTCATGGAAAATTAATAGAAAATAAAAAAAAAAATAACTGGTTTGGAAAAAAAGGGGAGGGCTAAAATAAATTGCTCTGCCACAAAGTACCTATGACTTTTGATACCTTTCCTAAAATTACCGGGCATAAAATCTTTTTAAAAAATTCACCCTACAACAGTTTTCATACTTTCAACCAAGCTCTTATAAATGCCCGCGATTTCGCGGGTGTGTTCTAGTATAGATAATATGACAAGCCTTAGATAGACCCGAGTCTAATAAGTTGTGAATAAATTCATCAGGGACTCAAAAATCTGCCATCAACACTGAATTTCCTAAATAATAAAGGACAGAAAGATATCATCACTAGTTAGATTCCTGACTGGGATGCGTACATGAATGTGTGGGTGGGATAAACTGCTCTATATCTCAAACTTCCCTTTTTAATCTTGATCAATGGACTAGTGAAAGGTACATTAAAAAATACACACACAAATTCAGTACAAAAGTGGGGATTCATGTAATTCCATTTTTTAATGAATAAAACCAAGAAGAATGAGTTTCGTATATACTAATATTAAGTTGAATTCTGCATCAACGAATGTGGCAAGATGACATTATAAAAACAAGGAGATGTGGTGTGTTTGTCAATGAGACAACTATCCACCAGACTTGAAATGAAGTGGGTATTGTTCTTTTCTGGATAATTGTGTGACGATTATTTAACATATTTACTTTGTAAAATATTTTATGGTGTAATACCGAACAAAAGAGCTAAACAATTCGAATAAGAGATAAATTTCATCATACTTCATCGCGTGTCTGCTACTAAACCCTCTCCATATTTCGGGATCAGTTCAAAATTATAAAATTCTTCAAGGACTGCAAGAAAATATTCCTGCTATTTTGATTGCAGAATTGAATGATCTTGGATCATAACCTCAGATCATAACCTCAGATCATAAAATATTACAATTTGGCTAATGAATAAACGAGATAGAGCTTTGCTGAACACTGATAAACGTAAAGGGGTAACTTAAATACTAGAGATATTCATAAACTGTAACGGTGTTTAAACTAAGTATAGTCTCTTGCTCTATTTCACACATTTGTATTTATTATGAAAGTATGTATTGCAAAAAATTATACTTCCGGTTTATAATGGTTATGTACCGTTGATTTTGGTTGATGAGAATACAGATTGCTATTCATTGTGATATGATTGTCAATGTGACAATTATCCACCAGAGACCAAATGGACGAAGATTTAAACAACCAAAGACTCACTGTACGGCAATCAATTATGAATTATAAAAATATCCAAGAAATTGTATTCTTTATATATTTCCTTTCTCATCTCGATATTTTAAATTTTAGGACAATTGAAATTAAAATAATAAGTTATTTTAATTCAACAATATATTAGAACATAATTCGTTCAACAAAGTAATATGTGTTATACAAACAAATGGAGTAAAAAACAATTTATCTCAAAAGATTGGTAAAATCTTTATGTTCAGTTCGATTACTTTGTCCTTATTTGAATACGACACAATTTCATTTATTTACTTTCATAACAGCTGAAAATATTAAATTCATGACATTTACAGTGATATTTCATATCAATATTAAAAAAATACAAACGCAATTGGAAACAACTTTGTTGTTTAATAAATGAAAACAAGTTAACCAAATAAAGTAAAAATAAAAAAATCACTGTTTTAATGTGCACCACTAAATTTTGAAGTAAAAACTTATACGTACTACGTTATTTCTGACACCATTTCCCTTCCTTTATTATTGGCGAAATAGTACACTTTTTGTGTAGAGACGGAAAATAAAGTGTAAATTTGGCACTCTTTATATATTTTCTTGACTTTTTCTTTTCGTCATTATCCCGATTACTTGCCACACTTTCTAAAAAGGACCTATAAGGGACGTAGAATTTAGTTGCCGGTTTACGTCGGACTTTACGAACTTTCTTTTTATTATTTAATCCTTTGTTAAGCGGAGACAAACTTTGAAATGTTGGTGTCGGCTCCGATTGAAATGATAATTTTGTCATATTAGTTTCTGATCGTACTTTTGGAAAGCCTCCATCTGACATAATTGATCCACGTGACCACAGAAGATGCCTAGAGGTTGATGGCGTCCTGATGCTTTCGACAGATTCTGACCTACTTTGACCTGAGACAAATTTTGAATGGGCCAAGAAAGTTTCTGAAGTTTCAATTCTTCGGAAAGCATTTGCTATATTTGGAAGCTTCTCGTTCGCTCGGAGTGATAGTATTGATTTAACTTTGACTGGTGTTACAACTGGTTCCTGTTGAATCCTTGGAAGAGCATACAGTTTTGAATCACTAGGCGCAGATTTAGAAACGTTTTCTTTGCTTGGCCTTTTCACGTTTTACATCCAGAATTTGATAATATTCAGGTGAGTCAGGCGTTACATCACCACCTCGCGATGAAGCAGACGATGAAGTTGGAGTCCTGCACTCAGCAATACTCTCTAAACCTCTGTTTCGGCTTGCAAATGGTTGTGCTAGATACGATGTTTGAGGTCTGATATCATAGAAATCGTCGTCATCATATTGGTACGGTGTATATGCTAAATCGTCATCATCATCCCTTGGAAGGTCTATGTGAGTATTGAAGGTTGCCATTGTTTTAAAATCATCCTCAATTTCATTTGTGTTAGGAATTTGCAGAGATTTTGCAAACGGACGTAAGCTTGGTACAGATTTTAATTTGTTCGGGTTACCATTAGTCTGACTATGTCCAAAATCATCAAACATAAAACGAGATTGTATTCGTGGTTTCGGTAACGATTCAAATGTGACTTTTGTCGTTTTCCCTTTCTGTAAAGGTGACAAAAAAGGCGTCTCCGACAGTTTCTTTACTGGCGTTGAATAATTCATGATTGGATGACATTAACGGAATCGTGATTTACATTTTGCTGTGAGATTGTAGTTCCAACATTGTTTTTAACATTACAAATTCAACATTTTACTGAACAAACTATTCAAATACAGCGATTAAAAGCGCATACAGTAATCCAACAGTACACATTATAAAACATTCAATCTTGTTTCTGAAAACACTTTCAATAAGAAGCAGTTATATATTGAGATTTAATATTTTAAATGTCTATTGTTCAGTTTTAATATCATTTAAGTAAATAATCCCCAATCAATTAAATTATAATTAGGTTAAAACATTCCAAAATATTATACTTCTTTACGTAAACATTTAATTCGAAATATACGACTTTTCATTATTTCAATGTATTCTTTATTTGATATTATTCCTAGCTTGAGTTTTTACCAACATTGTATTTTTTTAAATACGTGTGTTGAAAATAACAGTTTAACAGCTGTATTGGTTAACATAAGTAAACGTATTGTTATTTTGCTTACTTTGCTATTTTACACTTAAACAAAAATGAAGTAATCGCACTTTATAGTTTATACTATACATCTGTTCATTTATTCTATCAGTTGAAAAGAAATAAAAATAGTGTATTGATGCATGAAATAAAATACCCGAACGCACTTGACAAAAAAAAAAGGGAACAGAGCTTTTATTGTAGTTCTTCGTCTCAATGAAAGACTGATCGGATGAGTGATTGATTGATTGGTGTTTAACGCCACATTCAGCACTATTGTGCTACATGTATTTCGTACTGATCGGAAGAAATGTAAATCTCAAACAATACTTTAACTTGTGTAATTATATCCAAATGCTCCTTTTATGGATACTTTTATTCGGGAATACTCAGAATTAACTACAAAAAAAAACAGGAATACAAGGTATTATCCTTAGATACGGAAGCTTGTTTGATGAATCAAAGATGCATTTTGAAAAAGTATTTCCCTTAATGATACTCTAAACTAAATATTGGAAATCCAAATATAACAGGCGTCATAGAGCAAACGGTTCAGCAAGATACGTTATCTTTGAAAATAACAAGTTTTCCTCTCTTTAGCCAAATGAAAACTTCTCAATAGTATGAAAATAGTATAAAGATGTAGTATACTATTTCCAAGCAGTCACCAGACAGTTCACCCCGGTCGCAAAACCTAATTCGATTCATCATATAGAAAGGATATTTCTCGTCAATTGCCAAAATCAGTTCTGTAATGAAGGGCCTACATTTTTGTCACCGGTTTTCACATCATGTCATCATAAATCATCGTCATTTCAGAATGCAGATGTAAAATCTGATGCCTTGTGATAGCGCCACGCTCTCTGCACGTTAATAATCCTTGCAACAACTCCGAGGGGTCCGTCGGTGGCCTGTTTCAAGGCTAAATATCTGTACTTATCCAATTTACCGTCATTTTCCTGTGGCAGTCCAATTTTCCCGCACTTCATCCCGGTCGACTCCGTTTACATGACCTACCTATAGTATGTTAATTCGTTCTCGTCCTGAACATGCATGAAGTATTTGCCACTGGACTATAAGCAGCCAACAATCAATACATTTTTTATTGTCTTTACATTAAGTATATATACTACCATTTGTTTTTTCAGATATAGTATACTAGCACCGTTCGAAAAAGGTCATGGGATTATTAAAACTTTTTAATTTGAGTTTTCTGTCTGTTGGAATTCAAATTGTCATTTCCTGCTTAAACTGTAACGTACTATTGTTACATGTAACATTTAAATTTATTTTTAAACTTGTTTGTTTTCAAAAATTTAATAATCACTACATGGTTGCCGACCATTCATCCGTGCGGTTTTCATACAATTTATCTTCCTTGTCTACTATTACTAAGTTGGTATTTTTTCATTGTATTGAACAATTAAATAAAGTGCAGTGTGAAAGTTTAGAACTTTATGACCAGGAAGTGGGGAAATCCAAGTAATCAGAAGACATTTGCTGAAAGACATCAATATCGTAAGTAAATAGTCAAATATAATCAATGCTGTTTCTTCTGATTTTCATTTTTTGCCGTTAGTAAATATTCATTTTATGGTGAATTAAATGTTTATGTCGAGTTCTAAAACTATCCTGTTAAATTTAAAATGCTGGGTTAAAGGTTATGATATGACAGTCCTTCGTTGAGTTTAGTGTACAGTAATTAGATATAAGAAGATGTGGTATGAGTGCCAATGAGACATCTCTCCATCCAAGTCACAATGTGTTAAAAGTAAACAATTATATAGATCAAAGTACGGCCTTCAACACGGAACCTTGGCTCACACCGAACAGCAAGCTATAAAGGGCCCCAAAAATGACAAGTGTAAAACCATTCAAACAGGAAAACCAACGGTTTAATCTATATAAAAAACGAGAAACGAGAAACACTTATGAACCACATCAACAAAAGACAACCACTGAACATCAGGGTCCTGACTTAGGACAGGTGCAAACAAATGCAGCGGGTTTAAACGTTTTAATAGGCGCCAACCTTCACCCTACCTGAAAAAATAGTGTAACATCACAACATAGAAAGACACACTATAAAATATGAATTGAAATGGCTTAACTCAATCAAAAGACATATTAACAAAAACAAGTGAACATACTCTGAACGAATAAATTTGATCTATGACACAATGTAAAAACAAAATTAATGAAACAAGGGGGTTAGATGTTTAACAATATCAGAAATATAACCATAACCTTGGACAAATGCCACCAAATAAAATAACGTACTCAAGTAAATAAAAACAAGTTGCTTTCTTTATAAAAAGAAAAGCAATACGTGAACCCAAGACCGCTGATTGGTCATCAAAAAAATGTTGCTGAATTTTTGTTTGCTTTTGAATTGAAATAATCGACTGTGAATAAAATAAGGTAATGATGATGTTAAAACAACTTTATTAAAAATATGTAATTGTGTGTAGATTCTTGCACACGTCAATTGAAAGCGATGTTGGATAGTTGTGAATAGAAAAGTGTATATATACAGCTACTATTTGAATATACATTTTAAGGCTCGACTTTTTTATTTATTTCTTGGGAGTGTACATCATTTTTCCATAACCTTTTTGGCAAATCCCAGTTTCTACAAACCGGATGGCTAATGCAAATTGCACAAACCAATCGCAAAATAAATTTTAGCACTGCATTTATTTTATCTATCATATCTTCATATTTTGTTTCCTGGATGCCTTCAATTATTCTCAACTCGTTATTGAAGATGTCTGTGCTCATGTTAGATATTGTTTAGATATTTCCATGTGAATTGAAACCCTGTGGCATGCAACTTATTAGAAGGTTTCGTATATTTTTCTTCAAAGTAACAAACTAGGTTCATTTGGGACCACTTATATAGAGACTTATTTTAGTCTCATAAAACATCTAAAATTTTAAGAATTTCCTGATTTTACTTAAATCAATCAAAATATTCTACAGGAAAACTAGGTTTTGAAGAATATCTTGTTTTCAGAAGTTTTATGAATACCTGAACATACGCTGAACACAACCAATTTATATAAAAGATATGTAGATATAAAAAGATATCAGGATTAAAATGTTGTACGCCAGACGCGAGTTAAGTCTACTAAGAATCATCAGTGACGCTCGAATAAAAAAGTTAAAAAGGCCAAGTACGAAGTTAAGTAATCTATTCCTTGGGTAGAAAATCCTTAGCATTTCGAAAATATCAAAGTTTATAATAGGACAGTGACTCAAAAAAGAAAACAAAAGAGAAACAGCTAGAGGCCAGAATACCGTAAGTAATGATGACCGTGCTTGAAAGACACATGCCAAGCTCTGACTGCCGTGTACTGAATTAAGATAAGAAAAGCGAAAATTCGCATTCACAATAAGAATACGCATTTGCGTCATCACATATATTAATCTAATAGTTGAATTCGGCTGTCAAACTACCTACCTCAAGTGTTTTGACTCCGGATTCATTGACAGTTTATCCGTAATTTTTGTGAACGCAAACCGATAGTGTGGGTGTGACGACAGGGTGATGTATAATGTGAATGAATCAAGACGTGTAGGATAGCTGGTCAACATAATGAATACAATTTTCAAAATCGTATCATTGTACAAATATTTAGATGCTATATTGAACTATTAAAACAAACGAACAAACAAAAATTTGAAGTTTTATAATTAACATACATTCCTGTTAGTGATTTTTTTTCTGAAAATTTAGAATATAATATCAATAAACAAAAACGTCAAGTATTTACGGAAGGACATCTTATTTATCAAATGAATCTCTTTTTAAAGTCTTACATTCCACTATATGTATATATTGCTATACAAAATATAAGCAGAGACTTATAAATCCATACTAAAACAGTATAAAATAATTAACATTATAATACATTGTAATAAAATTTATTGTAAAATATTAATTACGTTTTTTTGTGAGATGCAAGGATTTAAAATCCTTCTGAATTGAAACCATGCAAGTTATTTTTCATTCACGACCGTTTAAAATTTAGATATTTAGCTACCTTTTGGTACGCATCTCTGCTCATTGGTGCTCATACGTTGCATATAATTTTCATACATGTAATGACTGTTCAAACCTGTGAGACATAATGCACGAATATATGACAATTTTAATTTTCTATTAAGAATAAATGCAGTCTCAATTTAAACTTAATAGTGAAATCAATATTCTCTTGGTCTAGTAATATTTTTTAATGAAATTATATATTTTTGACAGAAAATCCTTTTGTTCGATTATCTTTCTGCTTTCCGACCACTGTGTTTCCGACCTAAGTTAAATATTTAACAGAAATATCGTTTTCTTAATTTTCTTCATGCTTTCCGACATTTTCCCATGCTTTGATTGAAATACAAAATATCAAATGATAAACGTTCAGAAAAAATCAGTTTATTCTGGGACATTATATATCAATAAACTATTTCCAGGTTTATTGTCACAATGCGCAACAGCACATGTACACTGTATTAAATACCACACACACAACGCGTATACGGAGCGTCTCAAAGCATGAGTTATATAATTGCGTTATCATTACACTTGATATTTAATAAACATTCACATTATTAAAACATGTTTTGTCAAAAAGCAAATAGGTTCTGACATATAAATGATTTTTTGACTGCAACCTAGTCTTTATTGTTTTACTTTCCAATCTACAAATGAACTTTGATTGTTGAAATATACAATGTCACGTGGTAGCCTATCCATAGAGGGACCGTATCAAAGACGTTATAGATAACTACCTGTATAAATGATCGAAAATTTTCGAGACGTTCCGAGAATCTTGATTCCGAGGATATCGAATGGCTCACTTCCAAAACTCGCCAATATATAAGCGTGTCAGGGGGTTCACGCAATAATTTTGTTACAGTAATACATAATTATACTCGAAACGACTTAAACAATGATCAAAACCAATACCGTAATACAATCAGCTGTAAAAGGTCCCGGCATGACTTAAAAATGTGAGACAATTCAAATTCGAAAACCAATGGACTGATTTATGATAAAACAATATTCGAAAATAAAAATAACGGACAGCAACAATGTCAGACAGCAACAATTAACGACAACCACTGAATTACAGGCTCCTATATAACATGGGAAAGCACATGAAGAATGTGACGGGTTAATATAAATAAAGAGATTTAGTTAAATATGCATGCCTATAGCTATAAGACAACTATATCCATTGGTGTGTGTGAGCGCTCAGCCCTCCCTTACACGTGACAGGTGTGTCATTTATAACTCAACATTAGAAAAAACTGTAAAAATCAATTGGAATGGGAAAATTAGTTGTCTTGAAAACCTTCCTGTCGAGATAAAGTGCCGGAATAATCGCGCGTTGTTAAGAATCGTACGTTTGATTGTTTCTTTTACACACAGCTGATTATTTTCTAAGATTTTTGATCCATGGACACTTCATCCACATTTTGTGTTCATCAAATAAAATCAAAATAAAGTGCTTTGTATCATTACATACTTTTCAAATACTAGCTACTAACTATAATAACAATATCAAATTCAACAGTGTTAATATCGGCATTTCTTACGATTAGGTAAATTATTGTTCTAGAATTAAAAAAAATTGTTCTTGAAACAAATTAGTTCTTAAAGACCAAATTTATCATGATGTGTATGTTCATTATCAACTAATAGAGATTCATGATACTAAATAATACATGTTTTGTCCTTCCAGAACAAAATGTTGAAAAGTTTCGTTCGAGTGTTTTGCATAGTTATTGGACTTATTACGGCGTTAGCGTCAGCTGGACTTGTCAAGGAAATGGGACAACATAGCATTATAAATTCTGACCAGAAAACTGGCCACGCTGACCAGAAAACTGGAACCACTAACCAGAATGCTGGCCATGCTATATCTTGTGGACCAGGTAATTAAAAGACCACGTGACAAGTTTAACATTAATATACAGATCGAAAGATTAATTTTCAGATTATTCATAAAAAATAAGGAGATGTGGTATAGAGACCAAACGGACTAGGATATAAACAGCTATTTAGGGCAATATACGGAGAATTTAAGGAAGTAATGTCATACTTGTGCTTGTAAATGAAAATTACTCTATATAGATATGGTGCGTCCGATGCCCTTTTGCTTGATTTACCTTCATAATTATAAGAAACGCCCAAAACCAAAGCCTATTGTACCAAGGATGTATAAGGTCTTGAATACATGATGCGCTATATGACCACAAGGGTTTCTAAAAATAACAGCCAAATGCTTTATTGCCTGGGTGAGCTTTGGTAAAGGTACTCGCATCTTTATTTGTCTTCTTCATGTTCATAAACCAAAAAAGGTCAAACAATTGGATGATTTTCTGTTGTCAACAAAATGCTTCCCAGATGTAGCTTGGCTAAACTTTTAGATGAGTGTTGGAGAAAAATAGCCCATACTTTAGAATATATGTATTGAGTCTTTAGTACAATATAGTCAATTTCGTTTCAAATTCCCTTTTCGGTAGTAAAATTCTGAACAACTTTGTGGCCGAACATTTCCCTACACTTAATGGTTTTCAAGTGAAGTCGATTTTCTTTTTTGTTTTTTTTTTCAAATGTACAATGTGTATTATTTTTTTCATACTTAAACTATGTTTTGCAGCTGATTCCAAATTAAATGTCACATGGAGTCCAATATCTCCTAAATCTGGGGACGTGCTGTCACTATACTTTGATTACACATTCAGTAAGTATAAGCTTGTAACTTACAAAAATAGTCCATTGATATAGGTCTTCAATGATAACATAATCACTCAGGTAACATATATAGTATACCAGGAAAGTACCTCAAACCTGTGACGGATTTTATATTACTTCCGGTTATTCATCCCTCTTCTGGCTCATGCGGCTAATATATTTATTAAACAAAATTACTGGAATGGCAAGAATATGTGCACATTGAAGTCATGCACTACTTAATTTTATCAAACACTTATGCTAAACATTAATGATTGATTGACTTTTAGTGTTTAACGCCACCTTCAACATCTTTTGGTATATCATGGCAGTCAGATTTTAATGATGGAGGAAACCAGAGCACCCTGAGAGGACTCCGACCTTCGACAAGCTGGCAATCGTACTTTCAAGATCAGACGCGAACGTGATCACTGTATACTAACTTTTTAGTCCACTTGGTCACCGAGGCCCTCCGCAAACGTGACAAAAACAAAATGACCAAGCAAACTAATGGATGTTGAATATCAATGTATGTGCCCATCATTATTTATATTACATTTAACGAGTGTTCGTACATATCCATCCATATATCCAAGACACCGTTATTCACCAACACAATGCCATTTACAAGCCCATGCATGCACACTGGCATAATTGTGTACTAACAAAATGTTATTCATCAACATACGGCTATTCATAAGTCAATATTATAATTATCACCAACAATATGTTATTCATCAACGATATGCTATTCACCAATAATATATTATTCACCACCACGCATAAGTAGATTTTATACTTAGAATTAAAATATTAGTGGACGTCTCTAGGGCTAATATGCATAAAACCACTCAAGCGTAGTACTAATTTATCGCAGGCCTGGTAGAAAAATCCGTCCGTTCGGAACAAATCTTAACTTAAGTAATTTTATGCATATCAGCACTGCAGACTTTTATCTCAATACCATATACTTTTTTCATCAAGTTTTTGTCCTATAAAGAGTTGAAATAGATTTACCTGTTAGACATTAGATAGTCATAGCTTTACAATACATGTACATATTTTTCAAACTCGTAGACAATTAATATTATATATCAGTAATATAACATGTATAAGAAAAAGGTGGTCCAACAAATGGTGTATTACCTTTCAAAATACTTCTTACAAGGTATCCCCGTACAAAAGTTTAAAATGCTAGCTTTTACTGTACACGTTTAACTTAATAATACAAATGCATTCAATAAGGGCGTCGCAAAAAAATTATAAAAGATATCAAGCTTATAATTTTGTACACTATAGACACGTTTCGTCTACAAAAGACTCTTCAGTGACGCTCAAATAAAAATTTAAAAGGTCAAATAAAGTAATTTTTATGATACACTGATGGTGGTAGTGGGATATGATTTATGACTTTAATCACATTAATCTTTAAAATGATTGAAATGATAACACTTCATGAAGCTGATGATGATGCTAGAAGAAGATTAAAACGATTGCATGTTATGGTAATAATAATATAAACGTTACGTTGCATGCTAAAATGCCCCCGTCTGCATTGTTCAAAGTATTGTCCATCTATTTCGTCCTTTATATTACCCGTCTGTTATGTCCATGTTACATGTAATGGATGAATTGTTTTTAACAGGTACATGTATATACATCGTTAACATAACAGAGCTCATTGTTATTTTTTTTTTTACCAAATTTTAGATGAAGAATTCACAAATGGTATTTACTCTCTTAAGTGGTTCTCACGCCTCGACATGAGCTATCCATGGAGGGAGGCTACTGGAATTTCTAGTCGAATCAAGTGTGAAGATGTGGAGGAATATCTAAAGGCATCAGACGTCAATACAATACAGACACCTAGTAAATGTCCTTTCCAAAAGGGAGGTATGTAAATTTCTCGTATTTTGATTGGTAAACAAGTCGAAGGCTTGATTGAAATTTGATGTATTATATGTAAAATATCATGGCTTTAGTAAACGTTAAAAATGTATGTACAAGTCATGATTCCACCCCATTAACATGACTAATATAAATGGTGTTTCAATGTTGGTTAAATACACAAATATTATTAAGTTGATGAATTATCTTGCAATACCAATTTAAGAACATTTGAGATTGAAGCGCTGGAAAACTTTGGGTTTTTTTTTGTGTACGTGTTTGTATCGAGGTACCGTGAACTCTCATTATAGTAAGCCCCTGATACTGCAAAATTAGTCCTCATCATATGGATAAATGATTACGATAATATAGTCTAGACACTTCAGTGTCGAAAGTCAGTTGTGCTCCAACTATGATGTTGAAAATTTACATTGTTTACCTAAAAGGTGACAATACAAAAATGTCCAGCTCTAAAGGGGAGTCAAATGGTATTCTTAATAAATGAAACAGAAACTATAGACTATAACTTTATTGGGCAAGGTTGTTGTTGATATCTATTCTAAATATTTATAAAAGGGTTGCGAATAGGCTAGCTTAGTATTTTTGTGCAGTTTTGTAATTAATTAAATAAGTTTGAAGCTCTAATTACTGAATTGTGAGTCAAATTTCGAAAATATTATTACTGAATCTGACACACAAATATCTTGTGAACATCAGACCAAAGTCCTTTAAGTTTTCCAATATTTTGTATCTGTTTATAATTGTATATTTTCAGAAAAAATTGTCGGCAACACTGAATTCACAGATATGAAGGAGATACCATTTGTAAGTACAAATCATTTCTGTAGCACACATACTTATTTTAAGTGTCATTTTTTGGGGGTCACCGAGCCTGTTTTGTAATTTGATTTAGCCATCATTTACACTTATTTCCTATTAAATCACTTTTGTATCTTTATTATATTTTGTAGTCATTGATTGATTGATTATTTTATTGATTGATTGCATGATTTATTGGCTGGTTAAATAATTGATTGATTGGTTGATTGATGGATTAGTTAAATAATTGATTGATTGATTGGTGGATTGATGTTGGTTTACGCCCAAGCAACACAAAATATTATACTCAATGCAATAATTAAAGCATGAAAAGAATGACATACAATGTACATGAAAATGGATGATGGAAGAGGTTAGGATGCGACACAAAAGGCGAAAGTGTTTTTAATTATTTTTTTGCTTCCTCTACAATATTTAGATTTAGAATTTCAGAAAATCACTGCATTGAATTTATGTTGAAGTAAGTGTATTTATTTCATTTGTATATTTTAGGGATATAATTCTTTGGTGATAAGCCTCACCAATCAAAATGGACATGTAACTGCTTGTGGAAATGCAACAATATATCTACAACTTCCTTATTATGATGATGACGGTGAATAGACTTTGTGTGGTTTTATACAGAATATGCAATATTTTTATATTAATACTCTACTTTAAAATGCATATTATCATTTTATCCTGCAATCAGAAAACTTTTGTATGAATAACATATATATAAATAAATAGTTTCCTGGTATCTTTTTATTTCTCTATTTTAACAGGTCGAGACCACTACTTTATGTGGAAAATGAATCACAAAAATTAAATTCAATGGTATAAAATTCACATTCGCAAAGATTCGCTAATTTTCTCTGTCAATAAAATTTCAGGGGTCAAGTAAATTTTAAATTTGAAAACAATAAAAAATCTAAATTTGCAAAAATTTTGAAATAATTTGACTAAAGGGCACTAGCTACGAGATACATAAAAAATATAAAATATGATTTTTTTTTTGTTCAAACATTAATGAAAGTGAAATAGTGGAATAATAATTCGCTTTTAGTAGCCAGTATGGTCAAAATAAGCTAAGAAACATTGATGATGAATTATTCACTTGCAAGTGAATAATTCGACCTTATTGAATCCGTTTTCATGTGAACTTCAATTTAACCCCTTAGCTAGAGATGGATAACGCATGAATTGTGTGCGTGTTTGTATATTTAAAGGAAAAGAATGTCAACATTGAAAGTGAAACAAAGGTAAATCATTTGATTGACTGATTCGATCCTCAAAAAAATATTTCTTATACAGGTAAAAATGACGATTATCATATATTTTTAATCTATAAATGAAATTAAATAGACCTAGAAGAATCCAATTCCACGAGTTCCTCTATCTATTTATATCTATATTTATGTTTATATAGCTAATATGGGCATCGGTGGTATTCGGGAGATCAACTCGATAGTTACTTAGATGACGTCTAAACTAAAATACACACGAAACGAAGCTACATATTATGATGCCCATGCCATGTACACTGTTTATTTTAGACTTTTTATAATTTGGATAAATGTTTTACATTGTTATAAAACAAATATGAGAATTTGAGTCAAATCGGTGAACATGATGAATTTGACAGCTAGTGCCCCTTTAAGTTTTCCCCGAAGATATTGAAATGTTTAAAATCAACTAATATTCACATTATAAAAATGCAATGTTCAAGATTAGAATATGATACTCAAATTAATAAAGCAAAACCTAGTAGTCTTGATCTGCAAACAATACAGGAGAATACCTAGACTAGACTTGCTTTTCCATCCTGTTCTAAAGCAAGTATAAATAAATTGTACATTTGCATACAATTTTCAAATATTGTATATATACAAATTACACGCAAAATGCAATAATTATCTATTTTGCAGAAAATGTATTTATGTTTATTTGACCATGCATTACTATTGTATTATAATTGTGTTTTAATTTCTCTATATAACAGTTTGCTTGTAAGAATATAAGAATCGTCACACTTAGCGTTTGCTAAATACCACTGTTTTGTGTTTGTTTGTTACATTTAATTCTAGTTTCCATGATAAGTCTGGAAAAAATTAGTGTTTTTTGCATCCGGTCTCCTCAGTCTGCTTGAAAAACAGTATCATCAGCGTACTGTAAAGCTAATAGTTTTCAAATTAATCTTTCTCTTAATATTTTTCTAGGGGGACATCCATCGTATTCAGGAAAAACTGGTAAATGTTATTAAAAAAATAAAAATGGAAAAGGGGACACAGGATCACCCTGTCGTACACCAGTATGACAAAGACAACATTTTGAAGGGTCTTTGCTATATTAAACACATGATTTTATATGATCATACATATTGAAAATAACCTTTAATGTCACTATTCTGTAGATTTTTTTCCACAATCCACTTCTTCATACGGTATCGAAATCAACAAAACTACAAAAGATTTTTCCCCTAAAGACTGATTAAGTCGCGATATCAATGCAAGTAATATAGAATGACGTTTTCGAAAAAACTGCTTGAAGATACGAAATTTCAATACTCTTTATTCATCATTAACAAAAATATATACTAGTTTGATTCTATCTATAATTATTTTTCTCCAAACGCAGCATTTACCATCTTTCCTTTCCTTACTCACCACACGCTCACTTTATCGCCTACTCCTTCCCTCCATCCCTCTCAATCCTACTACTCCCTCACTCCTACTCATTCCCTCTCCCACCCTCCTTCCCTATCCCTCTCTCTCTCTTTCCTATCTCTCTTCCCTCTCGCACTCAGTTACTCACATTCTTCTACTTACCCAGTGAATCCTCTGTTCATCTTTCTCGGTTTATATCTATTCGGTTGTATTGCTGGGATGTGAATGCCACAGTACATCGGAGAATATATCACGGTCTACCATTGTGTGGAAATTAGAGATGGACGTTCCTTCAGATATTCTTCATTAGGAAAGCGTGCAGTGTAATTAAAAATTCGTAAGGGTTCCGCGGAACCCAGTGTCTCGCCTACTTTTGCTGTTAATCGCAGGCTCAACAAAAATGAGGAAAAAATCAATAAAAATATTCCTTTAGTTACTATCTTTTGATTGTAAGAAGCTTCTGTCAAAGTTTGGTATAAATCCAGGATAGTTTATGAATCTAATAAATGTTTTAAAAACTTTAACTGCAGACTGTATTTAATGTTAACTGGAAGAAAAACTAAGTCCATTTTTAAGTAAAATACGGATAAACAGGTACACAATTTTAACAAAATTTCCTTCTAGATACTAGCTTTTGATCATAAACAAGGTTCTGTCTAAGTTTGGTACAAATCCACGATAGTTTAAGAAAGTTATTAAAATTTTAAAAACTTTAACCACAGAGTAAATGTATTGTTTCCTGGCGGAAAAACTAAGACCATTTATAAGTAAAATACGGAAAAAATGATTTTTTTTTTAACAAATTTACTTCTGGATACTATCTTATGATCATAAACAAGCTTCTGTCCAAGTTTGGTACAAATCCAGGATAGTTTAAGAAAGTTATTAAAATTTTAAAAACTTTAACCAGAGTGAATGTAATGTTTCCCGGTAGAAAAACTAAGTCCATTTACAAGTAAAATACGAAAAACCAGGAATTTTTATTTTTACAAAATTTATTTCTGGATACTATTTTATGATCATAAACAAGCTTCTGTCCAAGTTTGGTACAAATCCAGCATAGTTTAAAAAAGTTATTAAAATTTCAAAAACTTTAACCACAGAGTGAATATTTGTGGACGCCGCCGACGTCGACGACGACGACGCCAACGGAATGGACGATCGCTAAGGCTCGACAAAAAATAGAAATTTTTATTATATTACATGTACCATTATACATCCTGTAAATAGGCCTATAAAAATGAGAAAACCCCATACTGTATATTCTGCTGTAAAAGAGCCCCACATGTTTATATTGGGATACAGTTAATATATTGATATAAAGATTTTGAGATTTATTAAAAAAAAAACTTTGACATCAAAATTATTTGCATTTGTGCTGTTGATTGATAGCTATAGTGGTACATGTACATGAGGACTAGAATGAGATTAGATATAATATATACATATGTATATAAAGGTCAATTCAACAGTTGTGGTGTAAATCAATTGTATTTTTTGGTTAACTCATTATGTATACATGTAGATCATTGGCTTTTCTACACATTGATATTTTACAATATTGATTATCTGTTTATTGTTATATTGCTGGTATTTTTCACCTCCCTTAAACTTTTAACGCTAGATGAACTCAAGCTTGATAGGGTCTTCTCGCACATTGACGGGGCTGAAAAATTTTGGTTGACATATGTATATATGTCCCCTTTTCATGGGTTTAGGTGCTATTAAGAATGCATTGTGGCGTCCCAATTTCCATTGAAAAGACGTGCATAGTATTTTTTGGTTGACACATTATGTATACATGTACATGTAGATCATTGGCTTTTCTACACATTGATATTTTACAATATTGACTATCTGTTTATCATTCTATTTCTGGTATTTTTCTCCTCCCTAAAAGTTTTAATGTTAGATGAACTCAAGCTTGATAGGGTCTCCTCGCACATTATGACGTGACTTAAAAATTTTGGTTGACATATGTATATATATATCATCTTTTCATGGGTTTTGCTATTAAGAATTTTTGATGCATTGTGGCGAGTCACAATTTCCATTGAAAAGGCATGAATAGTACGAATTCATATGACAAATGTATGACGTACGAAAACAAATGATCTGACCATATATGAACAGATTATCAGCTTTTCAACACATTGATATCGTCAAATATTAGCCAGTACGCCGCAATGAATCTTTTTAGCAATGAACCATTTTAGCGAGTGAGTGCAGCTAATGAGCTAAAATGAATCATATTGTGTCCTCAGCGGGTGATATTTTAAGGTATCTATACAAAGAAAACCTGATTGCTTTTTCACTTCCCTAACTTGACAAGACAGCTTTTACCCTAGAAGAAAGCAAGCTTGATAATGACTCCTAACACATATGTATAGATTATCAGCTTTTCTACACACTGATATCGTAAAATATTAGCCAGTGAGCCGCAATAAACCTTTTTGGTGAGTCATTGTGAGTGAGCACAGCTAATGAGCTATATTTAAGTAAAATGCATAAAATTGTGTCCTCAGCGACAGTGGGTGATATTTTACGGTATCTATACACCTTATCGCTATTTGTCCGCCATTACTGAACATCACATAGGTTCCCGTAAAATTTTGACGCCATAATACAAAATTTCTGAGGCCACAATGGAAACTTGATTGTTGTATGACGTCGATCAATAGAAACTTGATTGTTGTATGACGTCGATCAATAGAAACTTGATTGTTGTATGACGTCGATCAATAGTTCAAGCCAGACAGATTCTTGGGTCAGCCGGGAATAGCGATAAAGTGTATACTAAGAAAACCCGATTATCTGTTAATCGTTATACTACAATTTGACTACTGGCTTTTTAACCTCCCTAACTTGTCCTAGCCCTACGACAGTTTTACGCTAGACAAAAGCAAGCTTGATAACTACTTCTCACACATTGTGATGTCGCTGATTACATCTCCTCAGACATTATGACGCGAGTTATGATGTTGCTTATAATGCCAGGGTCACGTTCAATATCGTAGCGGCTACGTAGATTTTTGTCTACTGAACGAGTAGCTAGCCTTGCTGCTATCAATATCTACGTAGAAGCTAGGCTAGCTACATGTTCAATAGTCATAAATCTACGTAGCACTACGGAGCCGCTATGACTTTGAACGCAACCCTGCTTTCGTCTAAAAGCAGTAATACTGAATTACGGAGCGACTGAGCAGTGACGTAGGGAAGGAGTAGAACACCATGGTTGCGTTCAATATCGTAACGGCCGCTACGTAGCAGCTAGGCTAACTACATGTTCAAGTCATAAATCTACGTAGCACTACGGAGCCGCTATGACTTTGAACGCAACCCTGCTTTCGTCTAAAAGCAGTAATACTGAATTACGGAGCGACTGAGCAGTGACGTAGGGAAGGAGTAGAACACCATGGTTGCGTTCAATATCGTAACGGCCGCTACGTAGCAGCTAGGCTAACTACATGTTCAAGTCATAAATCTACGTAGCACTACGGAGCCGCTACGATATTGAACCCAACCCTGCTTTCGTCTAAAAGCAGTGATACGAGAATTACGGAGCGACTGAGCAGTGATGTAGGGAAGGAGTAGAACACCATAGTTGCGTTCAGTATATCGTAGCGGCTACATAGAGCTACGTAGATTTATAACTATTACACTACGTAGCAGCTACGATATTGAACGCAGTCCATGTAAAATCATGTTTTGGGACAAATCAATTTGTCCTTAGGGATATAAAATTTGTTCTTGTAATCCTCGGGGAAATCGTGGTACCCGGGATATGCAGAATTACAGTAATTGAGAATGAGTACATCTGTACTTCAGATCTGACTAGACTAGAGACTTCATGTGTACAAACCTGATGTCAAACTATGTACTATAGAAGAAGAGACAAATAATGTCACATTAAACCCTATCACATTTTATCTAAAGATAACAATAATCCAAAGTAAATTATATTACGATATCAATGGAAGAAATTCCCGCGCAAATGTCATGACTGGGATAGACCAAAAAGAATTTTAGGTCTTTCTATCATTCACATTCCGATCAATTTACTCAGTTAAATAAAATATATATTTTAACTATATTTAAATTGGTTTTAAATTTAGTTAATCTATCAGAAAAATTATTTATTTCTCGCAGACGAGCCTTAATACTATACACCAACTCGACACTGAAGGTAAAATACCCTAAAATATAATGGTATATGGAATCGTCCAAACGGATTTCCTAATATTGATGACTAGGAGGTGAACTATATAGATTTAGAATTGTGTACACAGAAATAAGATTACAAATCAAGCCATATGAAAGGTGAAAACAAAAACAAACAATTGTTTAACATCATTGTTATTAATTTTGCTTCCATAAGAACCGTGAAGTTAAAATTTATAACGATTACGTGTATCCTGTCAACCCCGGAAAAAAATAATAATGTCTTCTTGGCTACTTCCGGACGCGGTGGTCAGTAAAATTAATATTTTGTAATATAGTATGTTAATAAAAAAAAATAATTTCATGATTTGCTGTATTTTAACATTTTATATTTTGCAATTATATTTGTAATGGAGAACCAACTTTATTTTGTTTTAATTTGCATTTCATTTATATTTACAATTTTCCTACTTTTCTTGTTTAGTTAGCTGTAAAATTACTCATATTTGTGTATCCTTAAAGAACATTTAACGCGATGAAATAAAGGGTGATAACTGTGATAATCTTTTATATTTCATTGTAATTCTTCAATTATCATACATGGCTTTTAGCACATATAAATACAGTTCACTTTGTAAAAATATCAACATTATCTGAAACTGTTATTTATACAATAAGGAGTTTTCTAATGGATTAAAGGAGACAATTTCAAGAAAAAAAATCTTTTTGAATCTGATGACGGTAAAATCGTAAAAAAAACAAAAACCGGGCCCCCCTTTTGCGGGAAAAATTTGGTTGATTATATAGGGAATCACTGAAGCATGACTGGAATGGGCCCACCCTTAGGTTAGTCAGCGCCCTCTTATGAAAAGTTCTGGATCCGCCACTGATCTGTTTTGGTAAGTTACAGAATCACTATAGGGCCTTGGTGTAACGGGACGGGCAGCTCAATTAGTTACAGAATCGCTATGGGGCCTTGGTTTAACGGGACGGGCAGCTCAATTAGTTACAGAATCGCTATGGGGCCTTGGTGTAACGGGACGGGCAGCTCAATTAGTTACAGACTCGCTACAGGGCCTTGATGCAACGGCACGGGCAGCTCAATTAGTCGCGGTTGGTATCGGTTAGTGCTGCTTTGAACCCATCGCACCTTTGTGCTACGTGTCTACAGCTGTTTTAATGAAAAGTGGGAGTTCCTATATTGGTCTGTTGATGATTGTCGTATTTTTACAGTGTAATGGTTTATTATGGATTGTCTTTATGGTTTTTAAGGATTGTCTTTCCACTATGTTTGTTAATATTTGTATTCTACATGCGCATTGTTCGGTTTAATTTGACGTCTTCCTTTGTCAAATATATATATATATATATATGAATACCGCTTAGTTTGTCTCGTTCCCATTCTTTTCATTCCATAGTTTGATGAAAAAAAAAACCTTCATTCCTCAGCTGATTTATATTCTCAATTTCTTGCTTAATACGGTTTATATTGTATCTCCAACACTATGGTAGATGTTTGGACAAGCCACTGTTTCCAAGGTTTACTAAAAAGCTCTGGTATTTTTGATGCCTTGCATTTTGAGCAAGTTTCCATGTTGTTTTGTGATGGGCCTTCTATCGGGCTCGAGATATTT